TTATTATTATTATTTTTGCTATTAATATTGTTACTGTTATTATTACTATTATTGTTACTATTATTATTATTGTTACTATTATTATTATTATTATTATTATTATTATTATTATTATTATTATTATTATTATTATTATTATTATTATTATTATTATTATTATTACTGTTACTATTACTGTTATTATTACTGTTATTATTACTGTTATTATTACTGTTATTATTATTGCTGTTGTTGTCGTTGTCGTCGTCATCCGCCCGCCTCATGCGGCCAGCAGTAGCAAGGGCGGCGTCGGCCTCGCGAAGCCGGTCCGAGGGAAGAGAAGAGAACATGATGCGAATTAGGCGAGGCGGCTCCTTTTCAAGGATTCTGCCATGTCCACCTGCTGCTGCCGTTCCTGCACGAGAACCTGCGCTCCTGCCATTCTGTTGCTGCAAGATGCAGGCACATCCAGACTCTCCAGGTGTGTGAGCAAACTCGAGATCCTGTGCTCCTACCATTCTGTTCCTGTCTGATGCTGCACAGTGTCTTGCAGAGGTGCACTCATGCGGGCGGTGTCTGGGTTGCCGAATAACAACGCCTTCAGACGTAAACAATCCTGTTGAGATCGCTGGTCACGCCTCCATTGATGTCTCCATTCATGTCTCCACGCCTAGACTATATATAAAACTAATCCAATTGGTTTCTTTACTACCCTCATTTAACTACTCGAGATATCTGCAGAGCCTTATTCATTTATGTGCAGGAATGCCTCCCGAACTGCCATCGTCCTCCCTCGAAGACTCCGATTCCCTCAGACCATGCACTGGCTGCCATCGATCAAGTCCGAGAGAAAGCTTTCGACCTATGCTTGGTAACAGGGAGACGGCCCAGTGTCTTGAGTGCCGTCAAAGAGTTGGATCGATTATGTCAAGAAAGCGCAGTGCTGTACAGGTGCCATTGTCCAGCCCAATCCAACCTCCACGTCTCCTCCAGGATGGCCTACAAGCTTCAAGAGTCAGGCAGCATGAGACTGCGTTCTTTCGCCGTGGTCACCCTCAGGGTACACTTGCTCAGGCAGAGGCCAGAAAACAACGAGTTGCGATCTCCAGAGACCATCGCGCTCGACACCGTGCAGGCGAGGAGCCGTCGCCAACGCCAGGGTTGTCTCAGTTAGCTGGCCAGTTAATATAGAACCCTGTGAGGCATTTCTCCATTCCAGGGGCATCACAACAGTCCCAATCATCTATTCATGATTCTCCAAGTTCTGTTTTTGACCGGGCGAGTCCTTCACAGAGCGTCATCTACACAGGTTAACAATCTAGAGATGCTTGATCCACCCCTAGATCCCTACGATCCTGATAATCCTGCCCCAACAGAGCGAGATTGGCAATATATTCAGGACTTTCATAACGCCCTGAAGTCAGACAAGATCGAGGGCGATGGTTTGACATGAAGTTGAATCATGACTGTGTTTGCGCTCGTTGCATTCGCGTTGACAGCATTGGCCCTAACAGGCGAGAGAGCATAACAGATCCATTCCTCTATAGCCATGAGAATTGCATGGATTCTGGAGATCTCAATCATGGTCTTTCTCCGCTCACACAGATCGAACAGATGCTGATCGCTTGTGTCAATGTTAATTGAGATCCGCCAGGCAGTTCACCGGAGACTTTCGTGTCCGTCGCTTTGTCGTCAGCAGATGGCTCTATTTCCTCCGTCGACACCATCCTGGCAACAGAGATATCGAGATCAGCACTGTCAACCTGAATACTTTGGCAGAGGATGCACCTGTTGATGATCGCCGTCTGGTTCAGGACAGGAGCTCGAGGCGGAGATTGAGCAGTATCCTGACAATTAGGACGTTACAGATGTTGCAGACGAGGACGAAAGGGAAAACACATTCGTTGTTCCTGATCTTGCTGGCACTGAGGCTGGAATTCAAGGGTTGCGCAATCACATGAGGCCATAACAGCGCCATTTAACGATACCCTCTCTCCGTCACATGCCGCTCTCTGAGCTCCACAGGAGCTAACCAATACTGTCTCGGGCCTTTGCAAGTCTCTTTCCAAGTGGTGGTGCTGAGTTTGCGACACCCTGTTTGCGAACAGTCGGCTGTGTTGACATGGTCAGACACCTCCTGAAATACTACGATGGCTGATTCGCAAAGCATCCTCGGTTCCGGCACGTGGTATTTAACATCATAATGAGGACTCATGTCAACCCTCGAGCGTGGTTCTTTGTGAACTAGAATGTCGATTGCCGTTCTGAAGAACAGCAATCAACACGCTACCAACTGCAAGATGGCGGCGAGACAATCAGCGCCGGCCAGTCGCCGCTGTAGAAGTATATACTGGGACCTGAGCGCCTGGACAATCTCAAGTATCTGGACTTCGTCCGCCCGTATAACTTCCGTTACTTTGTAGAGGAGATCAAGCTTCGACCGTTTGCAAAGCCTCGAGCTCTGACCTACTTCCCTCGCTATAAGCGGGAGGCAAAACCGGAGGATTACGCCTAAGTGAAGTTAATGCTTCATGTCCCATTCCGAACAGCAACTCCCCCATCGAGATAATGGTGTCCGTGATGACGATACAGAAAGATTATGAGAATGCGACTTCGAACGCCACTACGATTAGACACCTGGTGTTGGCCATTGTACCATTCCAGACGCCTACTAGAAACAGTCGAAGATTAACAATCCTGCCAATCTCAAAGTCCATTCGTCTGCGGATCCAGACGCCCTGGTGGCTAAACAGAAACAGCTTCATAACCATTTCATCGCCCACTCTCAGCTTGAACCTGCTGGGCTCAAAAACAAACAGCTCCTGATCAGTCTCGATGGCAAGGCCGGGACAGGAAAATCACACGTTATCATGCGGATTTCGACTACACTAGAAGGAATGGCTAGGCGCCATGGAAAGGCCAGTCCAATTGCGCGTGTGGCACCCACTGGCGTCGCCGCCCACGCGATCAGTGGGCGAACACTGCATGCACAGTTTAAGTTGCCTGTCAAGTTTGTCAAGGGATACGATGGGCTCAGCATTCAGAACCTGACGGCGTTACAAGACGGCGAGCTCAGCCATGTTCGGTATCTCATCATTGACGAAACGGCCATGATTCCATTAAAGATATTGACCTGAATTGAACGGCGAGTGAGAGAAATCTTCAAGGACAACAGCAAGACGAAATTTGGCGGAATGAACATCGTGATTGCGGGCGATTTCTGGCAACTCCCTGCCGCTGGTGTGAGGTCCCTTTCCTACATGGGCTAAACGCTTAATCCTGAGGAACTTGCCGCCAGGAACTTTTATAAGCGTTTTAACAACACTATTGAGCTTGATGCTGTCCTGCGCGAGCGTGGTCGGGGATGCCGAATCAGTTGCTTTTCGCGATGCCCTCGATGCTGTACGTGGAGGACAAAGTCACAGTCGAAGACTTGAGGCTTCTACGTTCGCGTGTCCAGGCTCGCGTGCCGTCTGAAATCCCAGCGTTGGATCATGTCCTACGAATTTATGGCAAGAAGACGAGGGTTGCTCAGTGGAATCATGACAATTTGCGCGATCTACAGGCTCCCATCGTCATCGCGCTTGCGTCCAATGAAGGCGCCGCCATTGCAAAGACCATGCATGCAACCTCGGAGGAAGCTGGCAACCCTCATGCCTCGCTTCCGCTCGCGATCGGGAGCCGTGTCATGCTCAGAGGGAATATCCGGATTGAGTGTGGTCCCGTGAATGGCGCGTTAGGCACTGTGAGGGACATTGTGTGGAACTCTGGTGTTCACTGGCAGGCACGGGAAGCCCCAGTTGCTGTTCTGGTGTGCTTTGACCACTACAGCGGACCTGCGGGCAGCTTCGCTACTGGAAACCATGGAGATTTCTTGATCCCAATCTTTCGGTCCAGGTGCGAGTTCTATCGCGGTCCCGCCATGTGTGCTCGAACACAGTTTCCGATCACGACTGCAGTTCACAAGGCACAGGACATCACAGTGATTAAAGCAGTTATGGATATAACGCGGGCAGCATCGCAACTCAATGGGAAACATCTCGGATAGTACGGGCTTCGCATTCGTATGGCACGTGATGAGCTCTGAGGGACGGACGGGCGACAACCACATCTTTGGCCCCTTTACTCCACCGTGATGATGTCTACGGTGAATCAAGAAACGCTGACTTGGTTGAACATGCTGGAACATGCCCTGAAACCTTTTGATTCCATCGCCATACTTTGAAGCCAGGGCGTAATCACGGCCCAGGAGTCGTGGGATCGCCATCTCATTTTGCGATGTATGATCAGCCTGAGGAGCGGGTACTATCTCTAGATTTGGAGGAAAAGGACCTCCTCTACCGCATGCGAAAAGGCGGTCACATTTTCCACTTTCAGATTGAGTCGCCCACAACCATTCCTCGAGATCCCGGTTTTAAAAAATCGCAGACTATCGAATTGAATTTCCGATTGGCTTCGTGGGCAGATTCGGAAATAGCAGCCACGCCCGGGCGCATGCTCGTCATTGATGACCTCATTCTTATCATGGTTACCAAGACTGAGTTGGCACCTTTTCCAGTGAATGTGGCCCACGTAACATCTTAACAGGAAGATTTATCGCCATTTTAGGAAGCAGTAGGCAGCTATTTCAGCCATCATTTCAGCCATCATTTCAGTCGTCACCTTAAGTATGGGGGCGTGGAGTTGCGGGAGAACTGGGCCTCTTTAGTTCTCATCGCAACCAACTTCTACAGTGATCCTCCTGCGTAGTACGAAGCTGTAAAAGATCATCTGATAATCCCAGAAATCTAATTCAAACATCGTGTACGTAGTTTCCCCCGGTTTCCTCCATGCCCACTAGTATACCTCGCAAGCAAGACAATTTAGCCGCATCACATCCTCTCGTTCCATTGGAGCAACAGGGCACATAGTACAATCTAGTAGCACTCTTGAAGGCACTCCCCAAACCTCTTTGTGGAGTGGCGATGACAGCTTTCCCAGGGTTCAGCGTTGTTCATAAGTAGGCATCAGCTGTCCCTCTGTAAATCGATGCCCGTTCCTTTGAAGGATATCTTGAAATCGACGTTGGCTGGTTGTTGTCAGACCTAAAACAAAACTGGTTGAACGCGGCTTACGCTTCGCTTTCCGAGACACCAAATGTCTCCCCCAACTTTTTGAAATCCAGGTCGATATTGCTCAATAAATGAGTCCATGCGAGCATCAAAACCATGGCGTCTGGTGGCCGTTTTCCAATGTACGACTGTTCGTCTGGACCTGCTGATGACGCAGGATGGCTTGATGGACTGTCATCCGTGCTGCGGGTTCGCGGTTCGGTCGTCTCTGTAATCGATAACAGGTGTCCATCAAGCCTCAAGCCGTGATCTTTGAGAAGGCAGTCAAACGCTTCTTCGCTAAAAGTATATTTTTATCAGCTTCATCCTTGCCAGCGGTGAAGGCAAACTTACGTCGCTTCTGGTCCCATCTTGAGAAGATCCTTGATGAGCATCCAGTCGTCGTTGTCGTCACCAAAGACCTTATAAGCACGGGCAAAAATGGCAAACAAGATCGATGCTCGAGCAATATCCGCCGCCATGGTTCGTCGATATTATTCCAGAGGCAAAGGTCTTGAAGTCTGAGCCGAGTATAAGGAGGGGGGGAAAGTCGGTGAACAGCGTGGCAGGCAAAAGTTGTCGCGTGACAGTGCCCTACTCCTATCGGGAAAGTGAGCCGAATAATTTCCACCGCGGCACACAACAAATCCGCAGGCGTGCCAGATAGATTTTATACTAATCAGGTTATCACACTCACAGTGCAATGATGGGGTTGCATGCTTTCCAGAGGGCTGGTTAGTGTATATCTATCTCAACGCAAGAAACAAGGTCGAACATGACTTTACTGTTGCTATATATCGCACCGCACTAATGCCAGCTGATAGCCACTAAAATGCAGTTTCCGATTTCATGCCCTCCTGGTCCTCCAAAATCTACCGAGCCCTCAAAACGCAGTCTGCACATTACTTCCCGCCTCCCTACATCGGTTTCGTCGAAACCGGTAACGACGCGTTCACGTTGATCGAGGCCTCCATCCGAGGCCAGCTGTGCGCCGTTGTGAAAAAAAAAAGGTCAACCTCGACCGTGCGAGGATCCATTGAGCAAAGCGGACAAGTCTTGATTTTTGAGGAGACAGCCTCTGGGTTTCAGCGTTGGACAGACGGATGCGAACAAAGCCACCTCAGCTCTCTGCACGTTCCGGTCCTTTCGGATCTCCAGTTCACAAGATAGGTCTCTCTCTATTTGCCACTGGCCATACTACGTTCTACTCGATATTTCCGATCGAGGTCACGAATGGTCGAAGTATAATCCCCAGTCCTTTCATTAACACACCGTCTACCTGCGACAGATGAGTTGACTCCTCTAGGGTGGTACGTAATAAGTACGGCCGAGTAACTGAGGAAGAACCAAGTATCAAAGTCAAGTCTGGTGCAGAGGCTCTTTCAACACTTTTTCAGTCATGTCTTCGCCTGTAAGAAACCTATCTTCGCCCAGTGAGTAAATCCAAAAGAGAGAAACGCAAGAGCTCCCGGTAAAGACATCTTTTTTAAGCACAGTCAGAGCTCTCTATGCATTCACTTATCTTCGGGTAAGCCATACAAGGATGTTTGTAGGTTCTTATATTCTGAACCAGAACTTGACAGACTTGCAGTCGATGCACGCGGGAGACACGAGGAGGGGACCGCGGCGTTTCCAGTCTCTTCGTCTGAGCACAGATACCTAGCCTTAACAAAGTCCCGTGGCCGTCGTTAGTTCTTTGCGAGAGCGTCCACAGCCTGCATCAATGGGCAGCACTCAACGCCACTCCGGGGGCATCTGCACAACATCCCTGCGGGCACAGCTTGGTATCATCGTGACCAGGCACTTTTGGGGTTCTGCGTCGTGCTGGACGTGTCCACGAGCCGCTAGCGCAGTGGCAGGGACGATGGTACGGCCCACCATACTCTTCCTCAAGGACGCGTATTTGTTTAAAAAATAAAAACACAAAAAAAAAAAAAAAAAGCCCGAGGTCGCAGCAGTTGGCGCGAGATGTTTCTTTGTTTCCTGTTCCGCTTGTCTTGATTGGTAGGCAGTAATACCCCTCCCACCCGTCGCGGATTCCGATCGGGTCATATATGTTGTTTTGAACGAGGAATCAACGGAATACAGATAAGGACGGACATCTTTAGGATTTTTTTCAAGAAGAACATAAGCGACAAGAGAATACAGGGAAGCTACTTTGTGCGCGACCTGAGCTGGGCCACGGTCCTGTGCGAGGCCGGCCACGCCGACGACGCCTACCACGTCGACGTCTACACGAGCTTCGCGACCGTCGCCCTCGCCGTCTACTCCATCATCGCCGCTGGCGTCCTGATCCTGGGCCTGGTCGTTTTATCGGTTAGGTATTTGGAGATCCGCGAAATCCGAGCCATCTTCGAGCGGGTGGAACGCGAAGTTCAGAGCAACAGAGGCGGGAACGAAGTGCAGCAGCCCCAAGTCTCCTTGGAGAGGACAGAGGAGTAAGGTGGTGGGGTGTACACTCTGTTGTCTGAAGCGGCGAGGACGGTGCTTCCGGACGGCATCGTCGTGAGGCTAAATACAAGCATGGTCAGAGATTTGGCGACTCTGGTCGAGACATGTTTTCGCGAAAACAGTGATCTCGTGCGTCAGCGATGAGAGATCCTACTGGTTGAATTTGTCGGCACCCGTATTCAGGAGTCTGTGGGAGGTTTGAATGACGTCCGTGCGGGAGCAGCAAGTATACTTGACGAAGTGGTTGGATGCTTGCTCGCCTTGCGCTTCTGCAAGCTTGTAAAGATCGATTTCGGGGAAAAATGTCAGAGCTCGACAAGGCCAGCGAAGCCTGCGAGAATGCACTGCGAAAGAACGGGTCGTGGATGGAGGGTTTTATGACGGGAATGTTTCGAATGCTCTCTGAGTAGCACGTGGTTTGGTATTCAATTCTGTTTATGGTCTCACACTGCGAACTTGCTATGTATACCCCCCTCCACGGCGGGAGGATAACGCAGCCCATCCGACAGTTGCACAGCGCCTCCGAGGCGCGCTGTCTGTCTTTCTTGGAAGCCAGCAACGAGGGTGTGCACATACATGCGTGCAGGCTCGATGTCAGTCCGCCGCACCGGCTCGCAGCCGCTGTCAGCGTGCTACATGTGGCTCGGTTGCGCGTCGCGGGATTGTCCAACCCCGGTAGCGCGGAGAGGAGAAGGCAAAACCCATTACTCAAGTGACCGCGAGCTGGGTGCAGTAGGTTCCCGTCTCCTGCATGGGCAGGGCCCAGTCGTTTTGACCTTCCCCGAACTCAGACATACACGAGACGACAAACGCTTCGCCGGACGAAAGTAACTGAATCCTACTGTCATACCGTGCGTGTGGAGAATGCCGCACGTTGCATTGACAAGTTCCACAAGGGGAGATATGGACAGACATGTACAACAATCCATGTATGGCGGACATGTACAATAATCTGTACCGGACATGTACAAGACAAGCTATGGTGGACAATCTAGTGTATTGACTATGCACACAAGCTGACACCTTGACAGGAGACAAAGGAAAGAGACAAGAATGGCAATGGTGGACCGTCGTGGAACCGTGGTAGATCCTGGACGAGTGGATCAAGGATGCGCCCTCCCATTTTCGAAACCGACGACGGGAACAAATGGTTGCCAAGAAAAGTATCCTCCTGGGAATCCTGCCCCGCCTCGGAGAACCCCTTGAGGAAATGCTGTTGAAGTCTCTGTGTTCCAGAATCCTGCTGGTGCGAGGTTGGTATCAACAAAGTTGGACAAGGGTTGATCAGACAAGAATTGAGAGGGTGTTGTGGCCGCGAATTGCTGGAAATATCGCTGTTGAAGGTCGTATTGCTGCTGATGGGCGTTTGGCTGCGCATGCGCGCCGATCAGCTGAGACGTCCCGATCTGCTGAGGCACCCCAAGAAGAGCGGCATTCTGTGATGGGCTGGTGGTGGTAATGGTGGCTGGGGTTGATGGCGCTGGTGCTGCTGTGCCGTGGTAATTATTCCAGACGTTGATATTCTGCTGAATCGGTCCAAACCAGCAGTGATTCCCGTGCGAGGTGGGCTGTGCGACATCAACAGGAGGATGGGCTTGATACGCGCCCGTCGTGGGTGGACACGGCGGCAAAGGCGCTGCAGTGGTTGTTGGGTAAGTCGGCACGGTTGTATTTGCGTCAGCGCCGGGTTCATCGACAGGTATCTGTTCAGAGACCCCGTTGCCAGGAATGTCTTCGGTCTCGGCCACGACGGAGTCGCCGTCGCCATCATTGCTGGGGTGTCGTGCTAATGACTCCAACACCGCCGCCTGAATCTTGCACACGACAGCTTTCACCGCCTGCTCACGAGTATGCTCCAGTGCGTCGTCGATCAAGCGATATGATTCCAACAGCTTGATGAGGGGCACAAGTTGAAGAGCGCCATAGTCACCGGGGTGGTCGAAAATATCTTTGAGGAAGGGGTCGTCGTAGTTCGCGGGCCACTCCACAGGCGACGAGGAGTGGTGTGAGGGGCTCTTGGGCGCCGACGTGTGTACAATCGAAATCATCACCTCCCCCAACGCGCCCAACTTTTCCTTCCAAGCTTGCGAGCGGCGAAGTTTGCCAAGGTAGTTGCACGCCGTTTTGCGTTCCTGGCAAGCTTGACATGGCCGCTGTCCATCGCACTTTGACTTTTTCTGCCGACAAACTTTGCACGCGATGCTTGTTCTCCCGGTCCGATCCCCGTTGCTGCAGTTCAAGTTGCGCGTCTTGCAAAATCCACAAAGTTTTCTTCCGTCACACCTGATTATGTTCCGTCTACACTCATTGCATATCCTCCGGGGCCTTTTATATATCTCGGGCTCGGGCGATGCGTCATACGGCTGGCCCTGGGAATCGAAATATGGCATTTGACCTTTAGTTCAGTCACAATCAGCTGGTTTAGAAGATGGTACGGTCTTCTGTGGGCAAGGTTCACAGGCCAACATTACTCACCTCGGGGTTCAATTTGTCCTGCAAATTGATGTTTCATTGGAGGCGAACAATGGCCCAGCATAGTGGTCATCGCCATAATTACACATGGGCACGCTTCAAGTGACACGAAGAACACAATGGGTAAGCTGGCAGCAGTGTGATATGGAAGGACACAGTTGGAAAGTGAGAGAGACAAGAACACAATGGGTGGGAAAACAGCTTTGGGGGTGGCTGGGATGGGGACGGGAATACGCTGGTAATTAATCATACGTAAGCGAATTTACCCCCGAGTTGGACGCCTGACCCCGGCTGTGCACAACCTTTTGTCCCTCACCTGACACCATTTACTTTTTCCCACGTCTGACCCCTGTGCTAGCCCCAGCTGGCACAGGCTGGTTCTGTGATTGACAGACAACGCACACCGCCTTTTTTTTCCCTTCAAGCCAGCCCTACCAAGAAGCCCCTCTGCGCTTTTCTTCGGGTTGCTGTCGTCGACAACGAGCCGACCCGCACAACGCGTGCCTGCATCGCATCGCGCAATGAAACTCGAGCGCTCAATAACCAATTACGCATCCATCATGTAAATACAGGGATGAATAGAAAAACAACATTAAAAATTACAAGAATTCAGACAAAGAAGGATAAAAGAAAATTGCAAACTAGGAACGACGCAAAATCCTCCAGAAACCACTGAAATACACGTACTGCGCTCCTGTAGATCGTAGATGACGCAGAGGGTTAACCTGTAACCAATTTAGACTCTGCTGATCCTGTAAGCTGCGGGTGGCTCCCGGCTACCGCGTCCCTCCTTACTGTATACTCGTCTGACACTTGGTCGTATGGACCACCACTCCAGCCTCCGACGGGCCCGTTCCTTGTCATCGTGTGCTGCAATGAAATGGCTCGGCCGTGTCCAGACTGTATATAAGAACACAGAGCTGCGAGATAGCCTTGGGGATTCGTCAGGACGAGTTTCTGGAGGTGAGGCAGGTAGTCGCGAGGCACAGTAATCCCGGACATGACGTAGGCTTGTAACAGAGCGAAGGCTGAAGATTCAATGCCGGAAGCTGGGCCTGAGTCGACGAAACCTCCACAGGCGCGACACTGAGGATGTTGTTCCGTCGGCAATGACTCTGGGGTCCCTGGACTGTACGGCGCTGTGCTGGAGCTAATCGGTGCGGTGCCATTCGGCTCAGGGTTGCAATTGTAGACAGGTTTCTGTTCATCGTAGGGAGCCTCTCTGGCGTCCATGACGACGTAGTTTCCTTGTCCTGCTGCGACGTCCAAAGGAGGAGGAGCTGGATGCGTGTTCACCGGGTATGGCACTGAGGATGGAACACGGGCGTACGGTTCTCTGTTGAAGCTTGTTGCCAGGGTGCTGTTTGCGTCAGGGCCGCACTCGTAGACACGCCTCTGGTCATGGTATTGAGAATAGTTGGGGCCGACCACGTTGGTGTAGTTGGCTGGTACGGCCGTGAGGGCGTTGGCGGGTGGCATCCAGCCAGGGGCTGAGTTTCCTGATGCCTCGATTGGTGTCGTTCCCTTATCGATCTTAACGCCGTTGGAGTTCGTGGTCGGGGAGACCACGGACTCGTCCGCTTCCATCGCCCAGAAGCTCAAATCCACCGCTTGGAGGTCATTTGCCGACTTGAGGTGCTTCCTGTGCTTTCTCGAAGTCCTGGCATGATCAAAGGTGCACACTAACTTCAGCCTTATGCAATTGCTGCAATTCTTTGTCTTGTCACACTTCGTCTTTCTTCTCCTGCAAGCATCGCACGCATAGCCCCAACCAGGAAGAACCTGAGGTCTTTTCACAAGCTCGAGTTGTCCTCCGGGACCTGACGTCGTGGTGTCATTGAAGCCTGACATCTGGGGGGCTGACATTTGCGTTTTTGGCCTGGTCGTTGGCCTGGGATCGGTAAAGGCTGCTTCCATATGTCTCGATGAATTTTCTTGTCGATACACCCGCCGACTATTCTCTGTCGATCGGGCTGCGACGCCGTGTCTTGATTGATCGTTAGCATAGCCTCAAAGTCATCTGAGGTAAAAGCCATGACTTTCCTAGAGTAGTGCTGCAATGGCTATTACACACGCCTTTCCGACGTCGTCGGTCCAACCTAAACAGTCGGACTTCACGCAGTCGCCCCTAATGTCGCGTGCAAGGAGACCTACGCTTCAGCCGCCGTGAAAGAGAGCGACAAGCCTAGCAATGTCCTCACAAGGGCTCAGAGGGAGAAGAGTCCAACGGGTGCGACGAGAGTGGTCATCTATGCACATGAGCGCACGGGATATATTCACACAGTGACCGAGAAGATGAAGGTTGGGGCCGAGCAGGAGCAGGACATAGTTATCTAGTGAGTAACAGCCCAACAAGCCTACAAGGCGTCGCTCAGCCGCAGCTGACGCAGCTGACGTCCGATGGAATGCCAAGACACGCGTTCGGTGATCCACGTGTGTACATGGACAGCCCTGAAAAAGCGGTGAGTGCATTTACGTAAGGGACGGTCGGAATTTGAAGACCAGCTGGTCGGTCCGCTAGAACACTACGTGACTTGACAGGCGTAGCACCCTGGCAGGTGCAGTTTAGGTGCACCCATGCGCCGGTGTAGGGATAACGCGAGTGTGTCATGCCGCGAACAAAAGACCTCCCTTGAGACGATTCTGCCTTTTCTCCAAGCCCGTTCCACCCAAAATAACACACAGCGAAAACACGCTAATGCGCGTACCAGTCGTGGATGCCTAACGCACGCGCCTTACTTATCCCTGGACGATGTGCCACCGCCCACTCACAGCATGCACCCATTCATGCGAGAGCCACTTTGGACGCCTTTTTTCAGGGATCCGAATGGACGCCTTTTTTACGGGCAAGACTTCCCGCCATAAGAAGTTGGACCTTGCACCTACAACGTAGACAAATACGATGCTCCCTTCGCCTACCTACAACCTCTGCGCTTCACTACTGTACCACAAGCTTCAAGAAATCAACACCCACTTTACTTTTACTTCCGGCAGCTAACATAGGCCCGCTGCTAGTTTTCCATCCTAGAGGCGTCCCTCCTCCTCCCTTAACGCCTCCATCGCCGTTAAGTCGCACATGGTATCTTGACTCCCGCCGCCGCCCTCAGTTTCACCTCCGGTAGTCCAGCCATGTCGATGAAAGCGTTGAAACCCGAAGAGATCATTGCCGGTATCAACAGGCAAGTCGAGTTCCTCACAGATAGCCTTGAAGTCGAAAAGAAAGAGAAGGAAGCGCTTCAGAAAAAGTTTGCCGGGCTGCAGAGCGAGCTCAATGCCGCCCGACGCGAGCACGAGACGCTTCAGCAACGCATCGATGAGGGCAAGAGCAGCGCGGCGACCGTCGAACAACAGAACGGGACACTCCGACAAGAGCTTGTCGAGGGACGATGGGACACCGATGCCGTCCATCGGCACAACGAGGGCCTCCAGATGGAGATCAGCATGCTGCAAGACCAAGTGATGGACCTGCAGGCGCAGTCCTATAACGCCGTCATCCAGGCGGAGCACGCGTGGGAGGAAGTGGCCGGCCGCGATCGATACATCCACGGCATGCACGGACACATCGCCTATATCGAGAGCCATTCGGCCGAGGGCAGGGCCGCGTCCCACGCCGCATTCCAGAACATGGAGGGCTTCTTCCAAACCCAACTCAACTCAGCGAGCTCAGAGTCACGCGAGCTTCGGGACAATTTGGCCAAACTCCAGCGCTTCGTCGACGAGAAGACGAGGGATGAGGAGTCGAGGCAGGACGCGCTCACCAAGCAGCTCGCCACGGCCCGAGCCAACGTGAGCGTCGCCGAGCACCGCCAAAAGACCCTTGAGTACAAACTCGTCAAGAGCGGCAAGGAGATCAAAGCCATCCAGCAGACGTCGGCCAGCCTCGTCGAGGCCCGCGACTCGCTCAACAAACAGCTGTTGAACGACTTGGACAAGAACAAAAAGGCCCGGGCCAGCGCCAGCGCGAAGCATAGAAAGACTCAGGCCAAGGCCAAGCAGGTGGCCAAGGAGACGGCTCAAGCGACCGCCGCCGCCGAGGAGCTGATGCGCAAGGAGATCGCGCGCCTCGGGAAGAAGATCAAAGAACAGGAGGCGAAGGTGCTGGCAGAGCAGATGCACCATGACAAACTCGAGAGTGACATCAGCGCCGAACGGAAACGCCAGAAGGACTTCCAGGTGGCCCTAGCGGCGGCTGAGCGCGACGCCGCCCACCACAAGGAGCTCACCGAGAGCCTGCAGCGCCGGATCAAGTCGATGAAGACCCGCGGCAGCGGTCTCTCGCAGGCCATTCGCGACCAGGAGGTCACCATACAACGACTCCACGACCGCGCGAAGGAGCTGGAGGCCGAAGCGGTCAAGGAGCGCCGCCTCGCCGCCCTGCGTCAGGACGAGCTGGATGCTCAGAGGACTATCAACGACAAACAGGCCAAGGACAACGCCGTGCTGCGGGGCTACAGTCTCGCCAACACGCACGCCATGATCGAGGAGCTCGGGCGCGATAAGTACTCCGTCTTCGTCCGCATCCTCGAGGAAGTCTTCGGTCGCCTAGAGAATCTCGAGAGCGCGCCGGCTGCCAACCGCGCCGTTGACGGGGTTCGCGCCTTCCTATCTGGCGCTCGCGAACGGATCAACGACTACAAGACCCTGGTGTGCGACGACATGGATGCCATCAACAACCTAATCAGCGATATCGAGAAGATCACGCCCGCCAGAGCCGCCAATAAGGACGACATCGAGGAGGTGGTGCGGCTCTTCGGCGGGGTGAAGACTCTTGAGCTCGACGTGAGCTCGTTACTTCTAGGTGCAAAGGCCGAGATCGCCACTCGAGGACCCGGACAGGATAGCAAGAACCGCCGCATGATTGGCTTTACGAACCCCGCGGGACTTTTAACTGGCGGTGCTTCTCAGCAGCGGCCAGTCATTCCATAGCTGCTCCATAAGCTGGATCTAAACATGGGCAGACAACCTTGCGTTATCATGCTGCCCGTTCTCTTTATGTTTGTCAATTAGGACTCTCATTTCCGAAGGGTAACCTTACTCATCGTCATCTCCTTGTATTTCTTTAGGTGGTATACTACTTCTCTCTTTCTCAGAAAGGGATTGCTGATTGGCAGCAGCGGCGCCATGGACGGATTACGGGCCTCGGCTTGCGCGACCCCTTTTGTCCTGAACAAGCCATGTGCACAGGCGTCATTGGCCTGCGCCATGTTGGAGCCAAGTCCAAGTCTACCGAGGCAAAAATGCAGAGCAAAAAAAGCACGACAAAATCCTGCCACAAAGGTGGTAATGGGTAACCAAGTGCCTGAAACAATAAGAACACATCCCGTGCTCCCACTGTCACGAACACCCACGTGACACTGGACACTCGGCTTAGGCCACTAACTAAGGAGTCAGGCCGCCAGCCAAGTAGCTGGCTTACCGCATGTATATAGCAAGAGGGGTCATACCTGTCAACCTTGAAGCCTTCTTCAAGCGTTGACATCTCTATCTATAGGCTAGTTATCTATCATTATTGATCCCATAGTACACACATTCACCCTCCAGTTAGGTAACGGATCTGATACCCACCTCCAAACCATGATAGATAGATATATTTACATGAACAGCAAAGTGTGATGAACGCCTACATTGTGCCCTCTATGTGATGCCATAAATCGTTGTGCCAAAAATGCCCAGATCTGCACTCAGCGGATCACCCTCGCCCGACGACCATTGCCCAAGCCGACTTCCTTGCAAAAGGAAATGTAGAGTCCGTTTCTATTTCTCTTGTTGGCCTGTGTCGAAAATAAGGCTCTGCGCTTCCTGTTTCGAGCCAGCTCCTGAAGAAATATGGGCTTGTAGTCGTCCGGTGCTGCGTTCTCATGATCGTTGTTGGTCGGCGCATTCGTTCGGGCCACTCTGCGGCTGGAGTGTGATGCTTCAGGTCCTCTGTCTTGAGCATGCCTCACGGTCTCTGCCTCAGAATCGTTGTCGTCACGGGTGTCGGGCAATACTTCAGGGTCTTCGTTTCCGCCCAATATCTCCGTCTCTGCCTCAGAATCCTCACCCTCTGCGTTCTGAATCATGTTTGTCATATTCTCGGTCAACTGCTGTGGTGGCGAAAACAGTTGTGCCTTGGTCTGCGGGTGCGGATTGAAACCCCAGTTGACGTCGGCAATTCCGAGGTGAAGCCCAGGCTTCGGACGCGGCTTGGAGAATTCGCTCGTGGATACCCGAGGCGGTGGAAGGCTTCTCCACCGAATTCCAGAGCCGCTCACTCCCTCTGGGTCGTGCCAGTCCCACGTGACGCTGAAATCGTAAGATGCTGGCTGCGCTGTGACTCGCTTGACGGCTCGAACCGAAGCGCCATCGCCAAAAACGGGCGTGCAGGCCGCGGAAGGTAGTGCGTCTTCTCCTGCGAGGCCTTGGCAAGGCGTGACGGGTAGCCGCATCGGGCGAGTGAGCTTGGGCGTCGCCGGCACGTCATCCTCCATAAGTCTGTCGTCTGCAAGTAGACTTGGAGCTCCTGGGGTGACGGTTCTATCGCTCTCAGACAGCCCATCGTCGGACTCCACCACCCCGTCGCGCCTGAGCGCTTCCTCCTTTCTCATGAGACTCTCTTGTTTCTGTTCCTCTGTAAAGGGTTCTGTTGTCCAAGGTAAAGTCGGAGCAATCGAGAAGCTACTGTCGCGTGTTTGGCTTTGGTCCCCTCTCAGCAGGAAATCCAGGCACTTGTCCACGTTCCACCGTGCCTTTGGCCTCTTTTCAAGCATTCCCTTGAGCAGAACCCGGTATTCCCGAGGGCATTTCTTCTCAATGATTAGATCAACTTCTTCGATCATCCATTGTCGTACGTCGGAAGACGAGGAGGGCGACCAGTTGGATCGCTGGCGGTTGGGGTCGTATTCCGCAAACATACACAAAAGCACGACGCCGGTCGAGAAGATGTCGGCTGGCTTGCTGTAACGCTTGGAATCCAGGACCTCAGGGGCGCAGTGCCAGGGTGACCCACACCTTCCCTCCACCATGTAGTCAGTAGACGCCACCATGCCATGATCAGTGAATTTGACGACCCATCGGCCCAGATCAAGGCCGTCGGCGTGGAACTCTACGAGCTCCAGCATTATATTGGCCGGCTTCATGTCGCGATGTATCGAATCGTGGTCGTGTATGTGCTTTAAGCCGCAAATGATTTGCTTAGCCATGTCCGGCTTGTCGATTGTCAGGGGTAACCACTCGTCGTCGAGGCAGTAGTCCTGGCGTTGTTCGATGAGCCACGGTCTGTCATCAGCTCCGGGCTTGTAGGCTATGTCGTAGATTGTGTTGATGTGAAACTAGCGAAAACACAATCGCGTCAGTAAGGGACCAGCCCAGAGGGTGCGCGTCCGCTCGGGGTCGCAGGCAAGAAACATAGGAGGGAGAAAGACGGTTATACTCACATGTGGGTGACTTTGTACAAACTCAGCTTCTTTTTCCAGCATTTCTCTATAGTCCTGCGTCGACTGACTATCATCTCCCTTTAGTCTGACCACTTTTGCGACCAGCCTCAATTGAGGGGGTTTGAGTTGGTACTTTCCGGCCTCTTTTTTCAGCATCTCGGCCAGTCGTTTCTGGGTGGCGGTCTGCTTTGGCATGACTAGGTTGCAAACAGGTTGACCGATGATTTTGACAGGATACACGTCTCTGAAAGAACCGTGTGAAATCAATTCGCCGTCGATCTGGTATACCGTGCCAGTCAGTCCTGTCCGTGTCTCGTAGCCTGCACGCGACGGGGCCATGGTGGAGCCGCCAGCGGATGTAACGCCTGGAAAGTGTGTTTCGTCCAGGCAATTCCCACGATTATACAAGGCCTTGATGTGTTCGATGAACACCTTCTGTTCGGCCGCGTTGCGGACAGGTGACCACACCCAAAAACTCAGACACCCGGGGTCGTTATCGTTGAGATATATCTTAGCCGGCTGGTCAAGAATCTCGCTATGACCTAAGCCTCGCCTGAGAGTGTTTGTTCCCCTCTCGATGCGGATGGGGGCCTGGGGGTGGCGCATCTCCGGGGTGATTCTCGGGGTAGGCTTCTTTTCGGGGTTAGGGGCAAAGTCGATGCGAAACATCGAGCTGCTGATACCACTTTTGGCGTTGAGGGGATACACCATGTCGCACGGCCTCTCGCCTTTTTCCCTTGATCTCCTTGTCTCTGCGCCGTGGCGCCAGCCGTTTGGCCTTTTGGAAGGCTTTGGAAAGGAATGACACAGTATGGGACCATCAAGAGGAATAGCGGCATGCATCTGTCCCCGCCACGGTTCCGATTCCTCGTCGTCGGTCTCGTCATCACTCTCTTGCGGCGCACCCCTGCGAGGCGAGTTCCAGATGTGCTCTTGATTAAGTTCAATAAATCTTTCTGCTTCCCGCCCCTGAATATGACCAATGAATACCGCGACGTCGCCGAGGCCAGTGGGCTCAAGGGGTGTGTTTGCAACAGAGCTTGCAGGTTCCTCGCCGCCAGCGGCATTCTCATGGTATGCAAACATATTCATTTTCCTCTTCATCCTCGTCTCACAGAGACATGCAGGAAAGAGTACGGGGCGATCGAGACTAAGGTAGGTTGGGGGTTGATTGCGAATATGTTTGCGAACAGGTTGCGCACGAAAAGGTCGCGAATTGGTTTTGAATTAGTCAACCCAATATGACTTGAAGAGTTGTTGACGCAGAAACAGGAAGAGTGGAACTGGAAAAGAGCAAAAGAGCCCCGGGTATAGGGCGGCGGCTGGCTGGGTTAATGGGGTGATTCTGTTGACGGATTACCTCTCGCCACACAAAGCGCCAGGGAGGGGGCAGGTGAGAGGGTGTCAGCAAAGGAAAAAATGGTTTAGGGCAAGGGTGAGCGTATGCGTCCAATAATACGGTCCAATGCCTGTCACAGGGTACAACGATAGAGTGCATGGCGGTTGGTGAAACGGCAACCCACCGCCGCCAAGCGCCCACTTCTCAGGGTGTCTGGACGTGGACGCGAGACGCCTCGGTGATTCCCAGTCACGGCTCGCTGCCGTGGATCTTTTCGTCCGTGCTCGACTCATTTTGTCACATTGCGATGATATTTGGGGCGAAGGTGGTAACCTCCACTCACCAGGTGGGTTTCGTTTTCTTTTCGATGAGGGGTTTCTTTTGCTCTTGGTTTTGAATTCGCGCCGACTTTCGCACTCTGTTAGATTGGCCTGGCCTGTCGGCCGCTTTTGTCTTTGTTCCTGCACGTCCACGTGAGGCTCGTGCAGAGGGGACAGTCTTCTCGCTCAAGGTTGTCGTGCTTGGCCCCCTGCCCGAAACAGACTCCAGAGAGGCGCCTGTGTCCGTCTCTTCCTCCCTCGCCTGGAGAAGAGGCTTCCGTCGCTCAGATGTCCTTTTTCTTCGTTGCTCTCTTCTTGTCCCGATGTAATTTCCACCACGCTTCTTCTGCACACGGGCATTGGAGACTCCCCGAGGAACACCCTTGGAAGCTGCGTTGGAGGATGGAGAGCGGCGGTTGATTGAGCGTGAATCGAGGGATATCGCCGAAGTGTGTGTAGGTGATGCAGGCGGCGGCGAGTCGTCATATTTGTAGCTTGAGCGTTCGATCTCTTCTTTACGGTTGTGGTGGAAGCCGTATTCCGGATCCCAATACTCTTTCACCGTGTCAGGAATTTCCCGTTGCGCATTCTCAAAGTCGTCGGCTACCGCGCCCGCGTCCGATAACAGTCTATCCAGACCATCTATCGTTTTGAACAGATCTGGTAGCCCAAAATTTGAGGCATAACGTTTGATCATGTCCAGTCGCATGTGAATACGCACTCTGTGGTATGGCGGTTCTTGGATTTGCTCTCGCCGCCTCCGTTCTACATCTTCCGGGTCTACACCACTCCACCAGTTCTGGTCCATGAGTGATTGGCAGTTAACTTTGGAGGTATCTTCGGGCGCTTCATAATCATGTTGGATGGGCGTCCGATCCCGGAATTGCCGGTCAACGTCTCTTTGGAAACGCGTAGGAGTGTGAGGGTTCCCGTCCTTCGACATTGCGAGTCTCTGTCGTGCAGAACCGAGACAAAGGTGCGGAGTCTAGAGCAAGATCGCAAATCGGGGAGCAGCCGCCACCATTCGGATCTGTTGAGTGACGGGTTGATCGAAGACGAATTGGCGGCCGGACTGGAGTATTTCTCGCGGACGGATTCGCAGCAGTACGTCGTAGTCGTGTTCTCGTAGTCGTGGTGAGTGAGAGCTTTGTTGCTTGATTGACGGAAAGATGCCACGTTGTTGTCAAATGTGAAGCTGCGACCGCAGAATGGGACTGGGAAGAAATAGGGGACGAGGGCGACAGGTTTAGCCACCTAGGCGGCAGGCAGGCGGGCTTCTACCAATCCTACCCACGCGTTTAATTAAAGGCTGCCCCGCACAGGATTGTCAAATCAGGTGCAACACATTTTCGACCAGGCTCAACTCCGAGGCGCCCGAGCGTCTTGGCACACCATGGCTTAACTCTCGGAGTTTCGTTCACACGATGCCGAGATGCAGGGGCAGAAAAGCTGACGCGAAACCAGGCCTCCTTGGTTACGCACGGCTCACCCTACTGCCACCGTAGCCGCCGATATTGTACAAAGAGACTGCCGACACACCGACGCGGGGGCCTCTCGATGGCAAGAGCAACATGCGCCTCGCCTTGAACCCCAACTGCCTAGCGACTCATCCCGACCCGACTGACCCCAGCCACGAGCTGCCTCGGCTGTACCGCCGCACGAATGTGGCGCTCTGCATCCGGGTCAAGGCACGGAGGAAGCACGTCCATTAGGGTGTCGAATCTCCGCCATCAGGATAGGAATAGAATAAGGGAGTCTGGTGAGAATCGCTTTCGTGTTCGACGTGTTGCCGAGTGGGGAGTTCGTGGCGAGGGGCCGTAGTCTGTGAGGTATGGGAGCGGGTCGAGAGCGTTTGGAGAGGGACAGGACAGAGTCAATCTAGCTGAGGATGTTCCCCGAGGTCAGCAACAACGTTGACCAGAACAGATGCATGGAACGGGACTGTGGACGACCAGAACAGCTCAAGGACGACGTGTAAAGCTACACCCGAGACTACACTGAGGTCGCATGGATTGTCTTCTTCTGTTTCCGCATCACTCTCGACTCGTGTCGCAGGCCAGAATATAGCCATCTAACCTCATGCGCCGTCTCAATACGCGATGATTTCAGGAGCTATTTTTTAGTAGATATCCTACATACACAATGGCCATACTACTTCGTCACTGGCACTACTCTCTAGCCGCCTGAACTCCCACTATGGTTGAAGTAGCGATATTCCCAATCAGGCACGACCTGGACTACTGCAGGGTTCCTACGGGTGCTCCAGGCATCCAGACCCAAGCCAGACCAGTCCGGGCGAATCATGGCGCTCTCCTCTAAATCGTCTGTTGTGCAGCGGCTCGGGCCTAGCCAACGTGGGTAACCAAGTGTAGCTCCCGCCCTTGACCCGGAGGCATGGGACCGAAAGCACGCGGGCTGTCCGCGAAACGCCCTTTTGCGCACCCGTGCCCCGGACGCCTGCCAATCCCGACGCCAAATCTGTAACGGTGCCGCAGAACCAACACCTGAAAAGGAATAACAAGACAAAAAAAGAAACAGACATGTGAAGTTGATTACCGCTTCATCTCCCTCCTCCTCCCACGAACTCATCGGCCGTCCGTCGCCACTTCGCCATCTCCAGATGATGCAGCTGTTTCAAAACCCACTCAGCAGGTCAACGTCGCCATCGGAGCTGGCGGTCACCAAGCCATTGACATACGTCGCGCGCTTGGTGTCCCCTTCGGCGGCGATCTTCTTCTCCTCCGTCCGACGAGGTGAGGTCATGATTCTCATCTTCGAACGCCGTGACGGCCTTCCTGAAGATGGTGTCGTGGTGGTCGTTAGGTGACTGTTTCAAAGACTAGGGTGGGTCGATGTATCGGATGCGCCGCATCGATGGCACGGATCATACTTTGCGACGCCTTGCTCGAGCAGACCCACCTCTTTTACATTTATGGGTATCCCGTCACGCCTCCGTCTCCTACGCCGTCACCACCGTCGATGAACTCTCCGCCGCCCTGCGAGAATACGGTCATGGGGGAATCGGATCGGAATCAATGTCGAAAATTACACAGATAACAACGGACGCTGTGTCAGCAACTAGAGTGTCGATCACAACGAGACATCGTACATTCTGACAGGCGCGATCTTCCATCCCGAAGCCTATGAAATCGTCGTCAACTCATTATACCACGTGGTACGTACCACGCTAGAACATCGAACCGGGCGGTGGAATGTTCGCCACGCACACCACCGAGCACTCTCATGTCGGATGGAGGGACGCCCACCTACTGCCGCCACCATGGGTCCCACGATGCGGCCGAGGATGAGTGGTTGGAGGAATGTGGCGATGTCGGCCCTCGTGATGAGAAATCTCGAAAAAGAACGATTCCGGGACGAACACATCGATCGTACTGCGGCCAAGATCGAGACGTGAGTTCTGGTGCTGCCGGTATGCTGGGTCCCCCGTCGACATCCTCCGTGACACTCCCCGGGTTGGCATTCTGGAATCCACCAGCCACGTCCAGGCAAATGTCAACACAGGGTGTAGCGAATGCTGTAGGTAATATGGCACCGATATCGCTCTGGCCTCAGCTTTCCCTGTTCCCTGAAAGACACCTCTTCTCCTGGTGCCTTTCGCTAGCGCCTCGAGCCACACAATCACCGCAAACATTTCCACCGCACTTCTTGCACGCGTACATGACCTCATGAAGGTAGTCACTGCAAGAGATGCATCTGATCATGGTGACATTTTGATATGACTTTGCCAGTGCTCGTCGCATAGCTGCTCCCGAGTCCTGGAACAGCTCCATCACGTGTTCGAATTCAGTCAGACCCTCATCCAGGTAAGGGAGCCATCGTGTCAAGTCTCCGTTGACCGCCGCCCCCACGATGTCCATCTCTCCGGCAACTTCGGATGGGAGATAGATCAGAGCTCCAAAGCCCCCGACGGGGACGTCCGGATGGCGCCTAGCCACCGCCCTCCGTAAATTTTGTCCAATCTGCAGCGCCCGTGTGCACCATCTGTCTTCTTCAGAGAGCAGGATGTAGCCCCACGATCGAAGGGCGTCGTCAGGGCTGATCACCCTGGACGGCTTGTGATCCCACAGGTCGATAAAGTTCGCTGCGTCTTCTGCGTTGCAAGGCTCTGCGTAGCCGAGACGATTGAGGTGGACGCCATCCCAGTGTACAGCAAGACCACATGCCCCGAGAGCTTTCCCAAATACCACGAATGACGGCTTGTACTCGCTATACTGCGGTAACAAATGCGCGAAGGGCGCGCCACAGCGCCAGACGGTTAAGACCTCGTCCACGACGAGATATAGGCCTGCTTCCTCGCAGCATTCGCATATGATTTTCCATTCCTGTGCCGTGACGACTCTCCCATCATTCTGGCTCACCATTTCCAGTACTATTGCAATGTGGCCAGTCGCGACAAGATTCTTGAATTGTTGCAAAAGGCGGCGCTTGTCTGTGGCGTAAGCTAAAGCGATTATTTGGGGATTGCCGATGCGGACGCTCTTCTGATTCCACCTAAGTCCTCGACCTCCGTGTGCCTGAGCAGGGTTAGTAAGCCGATCAACAGTAATGACTTGTCCTCATTAAGACTTACCATAGGCCCATGGTATGAGACCATCTGTGATTCGAAGGTGGCTATAAGGTAGTTGTTCTTTTGAGCTTCTGTCAAGCCCCTTTTTGGACGAACCGGCGGATCCTCCTCGAGAACAACGGTCATGGATGGGATGACGGGAATTGCATCACTGGAATGAGCATGGAATGAGACCGGGGATGCCATGAAGACGCGTACAAAATCGCAACGGTAGCCTCTCAATACTTCTGGCTGATGTTTTGCTCTGAAGTCCAGTGGATTTATGGTTGCATGCCAGAGGTCGATCAGGAACCCTCGAATCGGTGACTTTTTGGTCAGGAAGTAGCCCCAGTCGGCGTTCATGTCAAAATCCGGAGCGTCTCCGCACCGACAGCGCCTGTACAGTGAGTTCACGTCAGAGAAATCTCTGAGCCTGATCTGGTGGTTTCGCCGGTAGTGCATTTCCAACGAGGTTGGATTTGGATCTCGTATTTTGGACTTGCAATCGGGGAGAAGGCATTTGTCCTCGATACCCAAGGGGTTTCCATCGCCATTCCGGCCCAGACACAGAGCGCGATGCACCAGCAAGTCTCCTCTGGCAAGACGTTCTTCACTGATGCCAAGATTGGGTCCGGACACAAGACACCATGGACATGAACCTTGGAGAGAGGAGTCGTAGCGCGGTGGATGGCTTGAGTGTGATGCGTTGTTCATTTTGCTCAAATGACTTGTAGATGCACAGCGTGAGGTGAAGATGAAATTGCTCGCGCGATCTTGGGTGTCTGAAAGACTTGGATCGGGCAGGCAGCGAAGGTAATCTCAAAATAGCCAATTAGAGGTTCCCAACAAAAAGTTTGTCAAGGACTTTTGATTGGCTATCATTATTCGGCGAACGTTATTGTTGGGCCTTGGTAGGAGTACTAGCCGTCGTGATATCCTACACAGATATTGCTTCGTCTGACGCGACTAATCAGAAGAAATTCGTGAGCGAGTGGAGCAGCTGCCCAATCTGAGAGCGTCTCCGGGACGAGAGGCTCGAGACAGAAAACTACATCCAAATAGCCGCCCATAGTTCCGTCCTCGCTGACATGGTGATCATCGGCATCCCGCCGACGAGATTGCGAACATGGGCCTGGAGTGCGACACTCTTCCGGAGTCGTGCATGGGTTGTCGTGCCACCGGTCCGTACTCTAGAAGAAGAGGTGTTCCAGTCATCATCCTCAAAGGCTGTTCCTCGAGGTCTATCGAATGCTGATCGTTGCCTCGTCTAAAATATTCGAAATGCTTGAACGGCCACAAAATGAACGGATGGATTGATAGAAGTAGCGAAGCCAGGCAAGCCGTAAAAGGACCGAAAACGCACACGATGAATTGGAAAGAGGCGTTCTGACAAAGGACATAATTCACCAAGTTTGCTGCGAAGTGGCACAAGAGTACAGCACATTCGACTCGAAGGTTCTCTCCTGGTGAGATGGGTCTAGATCTTTTGCCAGCAGCCCAATTTCCAGGCGGGTTGGGGGTCAGATAAACCTGGAAGGTGCGTCCTTTGACAATCCTGCTAGGGCTCCAAAGAGGGGAAACTTGCTGTGGCTCACCTACCTCCACGTTCTGTAGAGCTCCACCGACGGCAGTGTGGCTTTGACCAGTGTGTTGCGGAAATCCCGCAGCTTTGCGTGGTCGGGAAAACATGGGGTGGTCACAGCTTTGGTAGGTCACCCGAGGATTAGGCGGCAATGGAAAGAGGTTCCCCCTTTCCTCACTCTGGCCAGATGTTTCAAATGCCCTACACGCTCCAAAGCACGGCACTCATCCCTTCACTATTAGCCGGGTTAGTCAATCATCTCGACCTCCTAAAATCCCTTACAGCGCTCTGACTCTCTAATAACAGGCGTCACCATGTCAGCTACGGGGCAACCTTATACCGATGGCCCCTTCGCCGGACCCCCATTATCACCTTCTATCGATCCTCAAGACTTGCCTCTGACGACGGCGTGGCTTGACTTCAAAGAGATTCCCGAGCCAAGCACGAAACGGATGACCAGTGACCAATTTCAGCGGCTGATCGAGGCCCGAATCAAGCAGGCGACCCAACCCAGTCCCCGCGGATCAACGCCAGATTTGGCCGAATCATCAGCCCTTGCGCCACCCTCCAACGGCGTACTGAAAGACGTATATCTGGAGGGGACGAGTAACGGACCCAAGCTAAGCAGTGAGGCATCTCTGAAGGATAGAGTTGGTGCCGACGACATTTTTGCCCCGTTGGCTGACCTGCTTGACCCTCTGGTGGGGGAACTGGCCATGAGGATTGTCCGCAGTTATCTCGATTCCCAACCGCTGGAAATGCAAGGCGAGCTGTGCACAATAATGGTCCGGGATCTCATGGCGGAGTTATCAGCGGATGGAGCTGAAATGTGCGACGAGACAACACTGGAAGCCACAACATTGCGCACGGCGATGGAGATTCTGATTGACAAGGACGACCTTGTGGACGATGTGGACAATCCTCTATTCAGGGATCTGATGTTGAAACTGCACGTGTATTGTCAGACGAATGGCATACGACTTCTGTCACTGCCTGAATAGAGAGGTGGGCTATGTCAAACCTGGTGGTAGCATGACATCTCACACCGTTCGAGGCCAGAGGCTCTGGGTAAGTTTGTCAAGTTGCGCAGTTGAGAATCCCACTCGGGATTAGATTTTGGTCATGAGGAAGTGCGCGGGGTTCTTGTTGGATTTACGACCAGTGCTTCATTAGTGATTTGGACTTGAAGCTGCGGGAAATTGCTGAAAGACTACATTTGGATAAGCATTGATAGGAACTATATCAGCTTGGAATACAAGGTTGCCCTTTTCTTGGAGAGGTACTCGCCTGGGTTTATCGGCCCCCATCGCTTCGGCCCCTCGGTGCTGCAACAGGACAGAAGGCGCCCAACAACCGTAGCCGCACCAGGAAAGCCGAGAAAGGCAATGCTGTATTTCTCGGGGCGTCATTTCGCCAGAACTCACACCTTCTTCGCTCCATTTGCTGACAGAATTCGCAGGTTCTACCACTCGGTCAACCACGCTTTTCCACCGCCCATTTGTCTGACAAGTCGATTTTGGCCCAAACCACAGGCGAACGGAGCGGTCATCCAGATACCCTCTACTGTAAACCTAAGTATTTTCAGCTTCGACAGCGACACAAGTACGCTGAGGCTGTTTGAACAACTTCACCCGTGCAGTTCGCGGTAAGCCTGGCAACTCACGCGTTGATGGAGCTGCATCGGCCGCGATCGGAGGTCAAGGATCGGCCCGGGCCAGAACCGAACAAGTGCCACTACTTGAATTCTCCTGTGAAGTCGTATAATTGGAAAACGATTTATGACTGCTACAGAGGACACGGCAGGAACTCCTCTGGCTTCGCCCAACTATAAACGTGGCCAAGGGGGACACGCTCCTCACTGGGTGCATGTGGGTGTGTATAGTGCAAAGACCAAGTTTCCCTTAACAAAGTGGAGTTCATTCTGACACCCCCTCCCTGGTAGTGTGTGGGTGGTGACATGAGGTGTGCAAACCTTATTTTTGTAGAGGGCCCCCAGGGGACACACTGAGTGAGTGAGGGAGTGAGTAAGTGAGGGTGCACTGCCTTGAAGGGTTTCAAAGGGGCGCTCATTCTCTGCGTGTGTGAGACTTCACGCTGACTGGTGCTGACTCACCCTCAGAGTTCCCTTGGCAGCGCTTGGAAACGCACTCTTTAAAATTATTAACTAATCAGATGCAACTAACTCCTGATGTCACCCAAAAGGCCAAAACACTCCTTTTCCCGGTTGTAACTTCATCTATTCTTACACACCGCTCTTTGCGCTCCCTCCCGCCACGAGACGCCCGGGTTGGTGGGCGTCTCCAGCCCTTGCCGCCAGCCAATTTCCCTTTCATGAGTGGACGTCACAGCTCTCTCGAATTCCTGCCCCAAAGTGTACCCGTCAAGGAGGAAGCATGGCTCTGCACTACACGCTAGTGGTCGAGGATGATGACGGATTCCCTAGCTAGATTGTGTGCCACCGGCCGTCTGACTCCCAAATCAATATTCTTCGGCCCCCGCGCAGGTGGCGGTCCTGAAGCTCTGGAGAGTCATCGTGCCCTTCAACCACCGTTTCCTGCAGTTCGGACATTTACAAAAGTCCGACCCATCCTGCCGCATGTACTCTTCGAGGCATTGTCGACAAAAGGGATGGCCTGGTAGTGTTAAAAAACCATCCTGCTCGTGCGTCGTGAAGACATACCACATGGTGTCCGGACCCGATCGAGTCGTGCGTGCGTGTCGACGGCCGGGTCATCGTATGAAATCGATTCTCGACAGATCGTACAGTTCAAGCCATATAGCTCCAATGCCCTCTGTTTCTTTGTGAAATGGTCAGATTTAGGGCAACAAAGCTGGGGAGTGATCCCACGACGGGCGCGTTCCGATTCGGGAAGTTCGTTGAGAGCGCATTCACCACACAGGACCTGATCATCGTGAGCAATGGTTCGAAGGGCCACGGTGAACAACATACGCATGCACATCTTTGGAAAACGAAAATCCGCGAGACGTAGCGATCGCCTTGGCCAAGGACATTCGAACAGAGGGAGCAATACTCTTTGTCCTTGGTCAGATCGTAAACTAGCCGCTGTGGTAGCTCAGGCTCAGGCCTGGTCAACTCGGGTTCAGGGAAAGAGAATCTATCCCGACGGTAGGGAAATGAGGAATGCTGAGATGCCGCGGACTTTGCGCTGGGTTTGGCCCTCTTCCGATCCCGCTCGACGCCTGGACACTGCGAACTCGAGGGGCGTTTCCACTTCTCCAAGCGTAAAATGGGTGAGCATTCCTGCGGTTCCTGGGTGTCAAGTTCTCGACTCGGTGGTCGCCGCAAGGCTCCTGCCATTGATGGGCCCACGTTAGTCCAGGGCTTCTGCGCCAGCCCGGAGGATGGCGCTGAACTTATTTGGCAGTCAAACATCCGTTCTCGAAGCTGGGCGTAACCCGGTACTTCTGTTTCGCCGCGAACGCAGGAGTGTGATTGATCTGGCAGACGACCGCTCAGCTCTCTGTGCTGGTGTGAAGCAGTCTTTTTCAAGAGAATGGAATTCGAAGTTGGGCCTCAGAACATGCCCGGAGACATTGGCGCAGGACGGTACAGGCAGGCTAATATCGGACGCAGAGTTTGGGAGGTTCCGAGGATAGTGCTGGAATTAATTGGGGTTCTGGGGTGGAGGGCGACGAAAAGTGTAACGCGAGGACGAGCAGGAACTAGGGAAGTGTGCCCAGAGCGAGGGTTTGCGGCCTTCTTTATAGTTTGCCGCACACGCTTGGGTTCGCAGGCCCTATTTTCCCCGCAAGGAAGGTGGTAGGGTGCTGGGGGGCATTAGGCCTTTCTCGGGCGCTTAGTCTCATCAAGCGGAAATTTTGGGTCACCGATCCCCCGTTGACCGTGTAGTCCCTCGTTTGACTTGTTTACCCCGGTTCTCCCGGGCATAACTGACCTCCGCGGTACGCTTGATGGAAACCCATCTATGTGATGCTGGATGTTGAACGGCCTTTCGCTATGGCAGCAACCTAAAAACACTAGCAACTAGTACCAAGAGGGCGGAGTGTTGCAAAAGGTGAAACACGCTAAAGTAGGAACCTAGGGACTAATTTAGGGGCTCTGATACTACCCTCCTTCCTCACCAACTCCTCCACTACCGTCTTTAGCAGCCCCTTCCCCTACGGCCACAGCCGACTCTTAAATCGTCGTTTCCGTCTCTAGGGGCTCCATCAGTACGGGTGATTCTGTGCCCGCTGAGCCTTTCCCAGAGTCGTGGGGGTCGTGTCTGGCTGGCAAGCCCATATTCAGGTTGCACAATTCCCAGTACTTGCCCTTTCTCTCCAGAAGCTCATCATGGGTTCCCTGCTCGACTTTGACGCCGCCCGGGCCGAGAACGATAATGAGATCAAGAAATCGTACAGTTGCGACTCGATGACTGGTTCACTTAGCTGAAGGCCCGCTAAAAAAAAAAGAGGGGGGGGGGGGGGGGAGGGGCAAAACAACGAACGTTATGAAGATCATTGTTTGCCTCGGAAAGTTCTCTTTGAAGTTTGCCTGGATTTCAGCCTCAATGTGCAAATCGAGGGCACTGGTGGCCTCGTCGACGAGCACAATGCTAGGATTTGCGAGGAAAATACGAGCCATGCAGACGCGCTGGCCCTGGCCTCCAGAAAAGTGCCTGAGAACGGGTCAGAGACAAGCCGTCGACACGAAGCACTACCAGGAGAGCCCGCTCGCTGCACGCAGTGGAATAGCACGGGGGTACCTACGATCCTTCTTCTCCCATCAAGGTGTCGTATCCGTCCTTGCGCTTCACGATGATTTCGTGGATCCTGGCTCGCTTGCAGGCTTCTATCACTTCTTCGTCGGTGGCGTCTGGTCGGGCGAACTTGACGTTCTCCTTGATTGTACGGTTGAACAGGAACGGGCTCTGGTCCATTACTGCCACCTTCCTGTGGATACTATGTGTCAAGTTAGTCAAGGGTTCGCGTTTGCGAGTGAGGGGCCTCGCAGTGTGAGGACGTACGAATCACGCGTCACGTCGTTGATGTTCTGGCCGTCGATGAGAACGGACCCCAATTCGGGCCTGTACTTGCGCATGAGCAGTCTTACGAGACTGGTCTTTCCGCTGCCGCTTGCACCAACAATGCCGACTCTTTTGCCAGCGGGAATTTTGAGATTGAGTCCGTCAAAAACCTTGAGATCGGACCCTGGATAGGAGAACCCCAAGTCCTTGAACTCCACCTCGCCATCGGGGCATTTCAGCTCCTCGGTTCCTCCTTCGACAGTCGACGATATCTCCCACATTCTCCGCAGGCGGGTGGTGTCGATAAGCGCCTCCATCTTTGACTCAATCTCCCGGGCGAAGAACAGGGAGGGCTCGTAGACAAAGGGCCACAAGCCGACAAAGGCATTCATGCTGGCCACCTTGGCTCGTCCCTGCCTGATTTGGTACGTGACCAGCCCTTGGGCGATGATCTCGAAGACCTCGATTACCAAGCCATTGGCGCCCTGGAGGTAGTAGAACGATCTCGCATACCTGTTGTACTGGCCGACATATTCTTCTTGCTCTATCCCAAACGCTGTAGTCTCCGGTTCGATTTGATTATGGTTTGCCACCGTGCCATGTCCTTTGATATCGTCGTGGCGCCGCTGGTTCGCCTTGAAGGATGTGACGTGACTTGCGTCGAATTTCTTTGTGAGGCGCGGGAAACACTTGATTTCCATTAGGGCCAGGACTATTGTCATGCACACCATGACGAGCGTCATCCGCGGTCCGTAGTCAAGGTGCAACGTGATGGTGGCGAAGCAGAACTTGACGGTCAGCGGGAGCATTTCGAAACAGAGGGCGTCGATGATGAGGGTCATGGGCCGGGAGGAGTCGACGGCCTGGATCTTGTCGCCCGACGAGACGACCGAGTGAAAGAAGGAGTCGAGACTCATGATTTTCTCGTGGGCTTTGTTGCTGAGCTTCAGGAAGCGATACTGGCGGACATCTATACTCATGATCTCGCGCGGAAGGGCCAGGCCAGCGGCTGAGACGAGCCAGGACAGCAGACGCAGCAGCCAGAATTTGGTCCAGACACTAGAGCCGCCATCCAGGCTGTCCATGAAGTTGGAAAATAGGACCGGCATATAGTATTGGAGGATGCTTTCACCGATGACAATCACGAAGCAGGCGACGAAACGGAATATCATCCAGGGCTGGTCGCTGGGCCAGACGAAGGGTAGGAATATGTGGTGCCTCTTGACAAACGCAATCCATCCTATTTCCTCAATCTCTTCTGTCGCCGGTCGACGAATACCCAACACATCTTTGGGGTCCTTTTCCTCGTCGTTGGTTTGGTCAGACGGATCGGTAGGTTGCTCGGTGGCTCGTTCGACGGTGGGCAACTTCTCGTAGCCGTCCCGGAGCCACTGGAGAAGGAAGACGGCGCCAGCAGCCAGCCACACGAAGGTCTTTGCCGCGATGAGGAGTAGACCCAATCCGCATGGGAATCGAATGGCACAGCGACCCCCGGAGTCGACTTCGAGGACGATGAATGCGAGCACCTCGGCGGCGCCTAGTAAGACCCAGTTCCCGACGTGGAGCAACCAAGGTGGACTCTCTACGGCATCGAAAAACTGAGCAAGTTGTGCGACCGTGGCGAGAAGCAGAAACGCCTCGGAGAAGGCAGAAACGGTGTCCGGGAGCTCTTCATTGCTCATAGAGAGAGCTACTAGTGCCACAGTGTCGACTGTGTACAGCAGTACCTGGCAGGCGAGCGCAATGAGAAAGAAAAGGCTGCGGGCGGGTGGGAGTTTGGGCCCCGAGGGGAGGTAACGTCGGTGGAGGGAGGGGGCCCCAAAAGTGAGGAGGAAAACCGTAATGGCGCACACTAACCGAGGGATGTACACCCACGACTGTGACAGGACCGCCATGGCCTTGGGCTGGACCGACCTGTTTTCCGTAAAAGAAGACAGAGCACAATGGCACACGGAAGAGCTCCGTCTGAATGTCGACAATGAAGATAGGGGGGGTTGCCCCTAATAACATAAATGGTCACCGCCAGAAGACTGGACCGATGGGGCTGAGGGGGACGCATCAGACAACGCAGTGGCCTGGAGTTGCGCAAGAATTGTGCGCCCCAAACGGCGAAACAGGCAAACAACACCGGGTGCTCCTTGGGGGTTTGCCTATAGTGATCCTTCTCGGTGGCATCCCCCATGGCGAGATGGGAAAATTGAGGGCGTTGTTGCCTGTGTTTAGACACCGGTGTGGGGCCACGGAGGCTCGGCTTGGCCTGGGTTACTCGTTGTTTGGGTCACTCGGTGGCTCGCTCACCGTCTGGGCAGTTCACCCATGGTCGCACAACAGCCTCCTGACCCGAAATGCTTTTTGTCCGACGCGTCGAAAGTCACGTTCATTGATTAGCTTGTTGGGTCGCAACTCAGATCTGGGCGGGTGGTGTCACAGCGCAACCAAGAACAGGAACGTGATCGCTAATTAGGGTTAATTATGATATGAATTCTAGTGGTGGTGGCGGCGATAGCGTGATTGATAAGTTCTGTGCTCAGCCCCGTGCGAGGTAACCTAAGTAAGTGGAATGAATAATTAATTAATTGATTAGGTAAGGAAATCTATCTAGCGCGACTGCGGATTTTGTTGTGTGCCGTGGTGGAAATTATTCGGCTAAACTTCCCAATGGGGTTAGGGTAACAACTCACGCACATCCTAGGCTGCATCTCAGGCTGTGACATCAACCTTGACATGACACGACCGCTCGTGATGACTATCGTTGCTGGAACGGTGCACCTCTTTATCATCGCAGTTCCTCACGACGCCTTTATGGACCTAGTCATTATTCTCCTTCTTGATCGTGCGGGCGTTGTCGTTGATTATCCGTAAGACGTTCATCATGGTCTCCTTGCTGCAGTGGATAATGGTGCACCCGTACACAGGATCAGTCACGGCAGAAGTCGAGTCGGCCCGTCTAAAATTGGCATTCCCTGGCTGCTGCGGAAAGGGGCAGACATTGATCTTCATGCCATGGAGGTCGCGTAGTTTCACAACGAGGGACATGAGGTCATTGTCCTCGAAAAAATTGGTTGCGACGACGATGGGCTTCTACAACACGTTGTCAGCGGTGATCACAAAGTAGGGGAGTCAAGTGAACGTACATTCTCGGCCAAGGTAGTCAACATGAAGTTCCAGGCATCTTGCAGCTCGACAAAGGCGGGCGCTTGTAGAGGGTTGAGATCGAAGCCGGTAAACGAAGCCATCGTGGAAGATATGGGCAGGACTGCGAAATGCTGATGAAGAAGGAGAGAAGATGATGAGGAAGGAGAGGAGATGATGAGGAGAATATAGGAGTGCGATACCTCACGCCAAGGGCTTGCAAGTTATTTATTCGCGCATCACCACCCGTATATAACTCACAGGGTTGCTAAGGTAATGTAATGATAGTCACTCTACCACTACAGCGGCCCTTCACTGAGGGCCTCTAAAAGGTGCTAGTGACGGTCCCCTAGAACACGGCGCTGTGAGGGTTTAGAAAGAGTTCTACAACTAGCTAGCTAGCTAACCTAGTAATAAGGAGGACAAATCTAAGGAGAGAGAAGAAGGAAGAATAGCGTCCTCTCTCTCTCTTAATATCGTACGCTTCTCCGTAACGGGGATACCCATTATTTTTCCCCTTTCTCCCTCGTCTTTCCTCTTTCGTACACTCCCTACATTCCTCTTACACTTTGTCTCTCTTCCTTACCTCTCCTTGCGTACGGTGTCTCAGTTGTCAGGATCCTGTATCCCTTGCACCGTGCGCGTCTCGTCCAATCAGGAGGCTGCATTTTACCTGTACATTGTACAGGTAAATTCAGCCAATCAGGAGGTGGCGTTAGTCCTAGCGTTAGTCTTGACGCTGGTTCGCCAGAACCAAGCCTTCTCCTGGGTTCAACCCATCACACGGGCGCCATCATTGACTGCTGGGTCGTTGGTAACGCTCCTCTCTTCTGGGCGGACTGTGTTCTGGGCATCACCTACAGCGGGATGCTGCCCGAAGGTCGACCAGCAATGAGTAATGGGGACAGCAATGAAAATGGTTGGCACGCTGGAGGAAAACTTCTGAATGGCCCTTTGTAGTGCCGGACGCCTCGGTCATGATGTGCGCCAACAAGGGTTGAAATCTGGATCGAATTCATTGGAAACACTCTCGCCGACGAGCGTGTGCCACGAACATGGTCTGAAGGGTTCCCCCACCCAAAAATGCTACCAGAGACCACCCGAGCCCTACCCCTGGGCCTAGAATTTGCACACCCGCCTCAAATCTCGCAGCTGCGACAGTCGCTTCGTGGTATTCGCTTTTTCCATATCGACGCTTCGCCGCGACCTTGATCTCATTCAAGTCCCCCCCCACGAACTTGCCTCAGAATGATCTCTGCCCACAACAAACCGCAGTGCTAGGACTGTGATTGACAATGACCATCACCCCACGTCATCAGTCTGTTCGTGAGTATACCAATTCACGTGACACCTCCAATATTCCCCATTCCCACTATACACTCGACCTTTCCTCCATCGCTCCACTCTCACTTGCACAGTTTTCTAACAATGCCTTTCTCACAGAAAATCAAATGGCTGACCCTATCCTAGTATCACGATCGAGGCGCATTATCCTTCTTCTACCTAGCACCAGGGACTTGGATTGGTGTCATGGTTCCGAACGGCTATAATTCTCCTTCAGAAAGTCGATGAAAATCTTGTCTAAAAACACTTCAGGCAGACCCGGGACTAAAGGACAGCCAATCGCTTCTTGCATTCTCTACAGACCAGAAGCTCATCCTTCAACGTGCGTCCGTGCGCCCTCGACGGACATCATGCAACCTTTCGACAGTCTCCACAACTCTCAGCCTCAACCCCAATAGCGAGGCACTCCCTCTCCTCAGAACAATATAAACCCCACCTTTGCCCCTCCGCCCCTTGTTGCGCTTGTGCGAGCAGCTCGGCCCTCGTGGCTGGCTTTTTGCAACGAGGCACAACGGCGACACTTCCATGCCTCCGGGATCTTTTCGCGGCGCTGTGTTCCCTATCGCCGTTACTCGAGGGCATGGAACTCCATACTTTGGGCTCTTGACACCTAGCTGTGAAAGCAGCTGTGCTCTCGACATGATGTTCGTACCCTACGTGGTACGTCCTGCGGCTAACGCTGTGAGTGCCGTCCCGACATACGACCAGAGTTTTCGTCGAAGCAGCTTTGATGTTCTACCTACACCCGCATCGCATCACGTTGTGTCGGTGCCGCAACACATTACAAAGGCTCGCACGCCAACCCTCGTGAGATTCAAGCAAACTTCGCCAGCGAACATCACCGAAAATCACCAATCTACAACTACCCGCCCATGCGTTTGAGCCCTGCGCGCTGGCACGTCATCGTCCGACTTCTCTGCAGGATTTGTTCCCTTGTCCCTTTGCTCTGCCATGTCCATGAAGGGAACAGACCCTGCCAAAATCGTAAAGGAAGATAAAAGTCATCTAAATTTATCTTCCAGGAGGTGCCACACACTGAGGGTGCACTCCCTTTAGCCGCCAAAACCCCCCTGCCAGTATCAGGGACCATCACCTGCGACCTCTGCCACCATACCACCTAAATTCCTGCTCAAAATCCGAACAATGTCTCAGACACTTAGCCAGGTACTTTTCCCCATCAGCTTCCATGTAGCTAAGGAGCTGAGCAGCCCAGACGAGGGGGTGAGGTATTGAAGGCGGGGTTTCAGAAATGAACTAGAAGATGGTTGGCGGTTCGGGGCACTTTCAGGGGCTGTTACGGCCCATTGGTCGTCATCTCCAGCTCGACGATTCTACTGCTCTCTTCTCGTCATGCTGGTCTCATAACCTTTGCGGTCTAAGAAGCCCGCCATGTGGTTGACATCCTGGGGAATCTGATTCTGGACGGCGTCCTAACCAGTTGTGACACTTGGACAAACGACTGCCACTGGCACCTGTGATGGCAGGGATCTGCTCGTCGACGCGCTGTGGGTCACCAACATGAAGACCAACGGACACAGGATCACGACGGTGGGCGCCGAAATAGACAGGTTCTCGTTCAGGAACAATTACCCGCAAAGGTACGAGAAGTGCAAGAACAAGCTGATCGTGGTCATGATGGCCGTGTTCGGCGCGTACAGCATGACCAACGGCGAGAGGGTGGTCTACAAGAACCAGTTCGGAAACAGCATCAGGGGGATGATTGCCTCCAGCCAATCTTTGTTCAAAACAGTACACCCTCCTCCCAAAGACAGGCTGTCAAATTTCTCGGCGCTGAAAAACCAAAGACCCGCAGTGGCATCGTGCCAGTTCTCTACGATGAGAAATAACTCCATCCGTTGCGACAAGTTGACGCGAGTAGACCCGCCGAGGAATTTGTCCCACATTTTTTGTCATGACCGTCCTCCCTTAAGGGAGAGGGTTCTCTCTCTTCTTCCCTCCTGGTTAGACAGAGCTTTGTCCGACGCCTGTTGTTCTGTCGTTTCTGTTTTGCCTTTCCTTTGCGACAGGTGGAACGTTGTCATTTTCAAATACTGTTATTGAAGTCGTCATTGACCTGGTGTGATCGTACCCCTCTTTGCCGCCGAAATGGAAGTTTCCCGCAGATACCAAAACAGCGCCAGGTACTGGCCCCATAGCGGCAACAAGAACCTCTCAGCACAAGGCTACGCCAATGCCCTCAAACTCGTCCTCGGTATCAAGAGGCAGAAGTCTCCCAACAAACCACTTTTGATGAGAGTCGATCAATGGGGAGGACCTGCGTCTCGAGGCAGGGAATTTGGAGAGATCTCAAAAGACTTCAAGGTGTACAGCTCCGAGGGGTTTTGTGTTGTGGCCGTCGAGTACATGGGAAATGACGGAGCTTCGGTATACAACAAGATTTTCCTGGACTCGGGAAGCCAGCTGGATATGTTTTGCTGGGATGGCTACGAATTTGATCTGATGAATTGGACCACGACTTCATTCGAAAGTATTGGAAACGCCAGCCGGGTGACAGCTTTGCCGTTTTCTTTCAAAGTGGCCGTCCCTTCGTTGGCCTTTGTGGACTATCCAGCACCTGGTTACAATGTACTCTGGGGGGAAGTGAGGCAAGGTGTCAGCAGAAGACTTCAACAAAAGCAATCCATATACACTCAATCCCTAGGGGCCAGGAGGGGAGGGCATATTTCCGGTGACTTTGGCTCCCAGCCGCCTTGCCAATACCCGGCCAATGCGAGATGACAGAGCAGTGTACGGCAAGATACAATACTATGCTGAAGCCGTTGTAAAGAGGCCAGAGATCGCCGTCACGCAACGCTTTGCCTGCGTGAAAAGCTGCCACTCCGCACCCCATCATCACTCAGTCTCAGTGTACGCGGCACTTATTCAGAGTCTTGCTCGTTTGAGCTAGCTCGCTCCGTCTGGGAGGCTGATCGCCATGCCGAAGCCGGGATAATTGTTGAAACGACCATCCTCTCCTGCTTTCAAATCCCAAAGGGACCATCATTTGAAGCCGACCTTTGGAACAACAGAGTGATCGGACCTACGGATGGACACACTGACCTACAAGATACCAAGAGCTTAGCCACTGACCATAACCGAAGTGCGAGATCTGCGCGACTGAAGTGCCTCCACAAGGAGAGACTTGGTGATGGAGAACAAATGGGGGCACCTCATGAGTAGATTGAGACAAATGAACAGGAGTTGACGAGCCCCTCGATGCTACCCCGTCGGCCCCGCACCCAGAGTAACAGCAACACAATGGCTCTTCTTGTCAAAAGGGGTGCCGCATATTGTGGAGGATGTTTTCCGCAGGGGCTGAAGCCATTCGAGGCGAAACGCTGTAACCCCCTTGTTAAATTGCTGCTGTACGACGTGGTCAAATGCCGCACTAATTCTTGGCAAAACTGCTTTTGGAAGGCAGAGCCGGACCCCGAACCAATCGTTCCCGCCCCATTTTTAGACCCACCAATCAGCAATCCTGATGCGCACGCGCTAACCTAGTTTTCTCTAACTCTCCAATCAACTGCCTTGCCCCACGACGCCGTCCAACTTCTCGATGAAAGCTAATCGCTCAAGACATGGCTTGGCTGGTACTTTTGAAATGGGTGGTGGCCTGAAATCGGAGGTGTGTGTGTGGATTCGGTGTTCGGGGAATAAGGGTAGGCAGGTGACCGTAGAGGGGCCCTCCTGAGTTCAGGAGAAGACATCGTGGTAACCTCACCGATAGCCGGTCGTAGGTCGCTTCTCTCCCTCCGCACCAGGTGCAGGATGGTAACATTGCACATTGGGATTTTCAAGGTCACACACCCAAAAAACACCCATCTCTAAATGCCTGTTTTCACATCCGTCGACGTCCATTTCCACACTCCACTTCAATGTCTTTACCGTCCCTTCGAATCCCCGGTGGGGGGGTGTCAAAAGACCCTTTCCCATGCCCATGATAACAACAGCCACATTATGGGGATCGTTCAACCGCTGGTCTAACGTGTCCATGGCCTCAACCAACTTCTTGCCAACCTCATCGCCGCTCATCTATCAGATCCGACACCCGTGAAGGCGACGATGATGACTTCTTCCCGCATCTCAGGGATGGCCAAATCCAGGATCTACCTCATTGTTCTCCTCGCCTTGCATATTCTTTCTGGCGTCTCAGTGTCTGTCATTCTTCTGGTGGCGTCCCTGGCACACACTCCACCTGTTGTTCCCGAATTATGTCCAACATAGTCTCCGGATACTGGTTGGTCGGCAGAGGTTGATTGAGGCATCATCCGAGATACTTTCCAAGAAATCTTTACTGTCATCTGCGGCGGCGACACTGCCATTCCTGATACGTACCATGTCACGTTACCCCACACAAGGCATGCTACCCCACACGAGGCTGAGCGGATACGGTCGAAACGATCACTTACGCTAAATGAGAGAGAGTTTCTCTCTTCTCAGATAGGTGGAAGAAGCCTTCATCCGGTTGACAACCGAGTCAATGGGACTTGGTCATCGATAGCCAGGCAAGACGTCGCTGATATGCGAGAGCGCCATCTCCAAGACTTACACTTGGATGCCTGGAGCGCGCTAATGCCAACGCCATCATGCCACGGTGAGAGCGGCGTGAGCCGAACGGGGAGTGAGAGAAGGGCAGGAAAGTGCAGAGAGGCGACGTCATGGTTCTTGTTGTGGCGGCCGCGGTGGCGGTGGCGTTGGCGTTGGCCCTACTGGGTCCTCCCACTCTTCCGCCGCCTGCAGTCAGTCGCTTCTGTTCCTCGTGGTACTCCCTGCGGACCTCGGACATCTGCTTGGCTTGCTCCCCTGGCCGGCTGAAGAGGAAGGAGAAAGCAGGCCCACGAGTTTCACGGCCATCTTATAAAGCACCCGGCCGGCTATTTGGGGATATTTGTCCGAGGTTCGGTTAAGTTCGGCGTGCACGCTTAACAGCGTATAGAGGCCTATCCGGCAGGTCGGTAGTTGTGAGAGGGTTCCTGAGTCAGGACTTGATTCTACTGCCAACGCAGACCAACCTCAGGGTCAACGTTCAAGTCATGCCGTAGGGCACTGCCGCACAGGTGACAACAACACGCTTGTGCAGTTACGGAGCCAACGACACACCTACTTGTCTGGTTCAGCAAACATCCACCAACCGACCTACCGCCATTTGGCCTGTGAACAGCATCCGTGGCCCCCCGACGAGAGGAAGACTCTAGGATTTGGTTGCAGATTGCTCATTTCGACTTGTCTGTTTTGTTCGTGGGACTGGATGGATTTGCACTGCACTCTGAGTGAGCGTGAGATTCAGGGTAATCGCCAACGCTGTCCTCTCTGGCGAATCCTCTCTCGTTAGAATCCGTACTCCAACGTCGATGGTGTAAGTTGATCATTGGAGCCAATCCTCGACTACGCTAATATGTGAACGAGCACTGCGGTCGTCTTCCTCTACACCTCGAGTTTCGCAGCTTCAGCTGGCGAGCACAGCCGTGCGTTGGGACCCCAGGCATGGAATAAAGCTCTCGTCTCCCGCGTCATCGAAGTAAGCTCGCGGTGCGGCATCTTCCTCCTGACCCAGCTTACTCTTTCGGAACCCAGGTACAAAGGACTTGTGTCAATCGAGATTCAGGAACGAGGACTCGCCGGAAAGACAACCACCATGATATGGACAATCAGCACTCTCGATTCTTTTCCGATCGCGCTGGTCATCGCCTTACTCTTGTTGAACAGAGCGTCCTCATAACCAAACATGACAGAAACCACCGTCATCTCGACATAAGAACCTGCTCAACGCCAAAGAAGCGACTTTTGCAATTGGCACGTCGCACATCAAGAGGACCGTGCATTCTGCCTGGGATGCTGTGATCGGTGAAACCTTGGCAAGTAGGTCGACAATGTTCGTTCGCGGCCTCGCCCTCACCATCACCTTCAGTCTCGCTGTCTGCAACCATGTCCTTTTGTCACTTATTCGTGGTTATGCCCAGAGCGCGGCTGCCTGGACCACCCGGACCGCCCAACAGCCCGACCATCCGCGTCGGTGGAGGAACATGTCCGCTTGATTGACATTTGTATCTGAACAAATTCAATGCCGCATCATATGGTCTCAGTTCCACTTCTTCCCCGTGTTACGTGTGATCACATATCAAAACTGAGCAGAGTGGCAAGAACATCAAGGCAATCAGGAAATCGGCAAGGTCGTCCAGAATGTGATGGCAATCACAGCGACGCTACTACGGGCAATGCCGCGCAGACGGGGACGGCTTCTTCGACCATCTTCCTCTGTTCATGGGCCCGCAAGTGCTGTCGGACGCACACAGCTTGCCATCCAGACACAGGAGGTCGACCGTGGGCTCCTTCAGCCTCAATGTCCTATAGTTGCTCGCCAACACGACTCCGTCCGTGGCTGTAGATTAGAGCTCGATCTGCAGGCTGGTCGGCATCTATCCCACTCCTCCCGACACACTAACCCCACAGGAGGATTTCAGGTGCGGCTTTGCAGGAATGTTCTAGACAGACATCAAGATAGCGTACGGCCCTTTACAAGTTGGCCGTCGGGACATTCAAGCTTCAGCCGAGTCTCTTGTCCAGTCCACTCGTGACTTTTCAAGGCGCATGATTGCTCTGAGCACAACCACCCCCATGGGCAGCCTGATGGCGGCATGAGCCTCTCAAAGTGAGAAATTGTTGCAAAGTCTCAACTTTTGTTGGGATTTTGGGCGGAATTTCGGTGGTATGACGCCAGCAGTTGGTGTATCTTGTCTCTCTGATAGATGGGGAAGGGGTTCCACGCCGCGGGGCTTTTAGTATCGATGTACCTCGCTGACGCTCATCCGTCCATGTGCAATTCCAAGATCAGTCGTTGTGCGATTTAGGGGGTCGACGCCAGAGCCAGCGAAATGGTCGTTGTCGGTTCATCTGCTGCACATGTAGACTGAGAGGCTGCAAATGCTTCCGTCGAACAATATCTCACATCTCAATTAAAATCGACCGCGGCAGCAACGGGAGCGAAGATAAAAGTCGCAGAGCTTCTCACAGATTTTCCGACTGGCCAGCAGAGCCATGACACACGAGATGTTGTAGTTTCCTTCCACAGAGCTTGCGTTTGTTTGACGATGACTGGGATTATTCGAAGCCACAGTTGCTCATGGTCAAGGAGCGCTACGTCGAGAAGAGAGTGCAGAAGCAAATTGACGCAAAGAAGGACTTTCCAGCCCCTATCAAAACACGTCCGATCGACCTTTGGCGGCTTCGACCATGAGTTCTTGACGAAAGCCCCGGAAGACGACACGCCCGAAGAGCGCATTATGTACTGGGCATGGAGATGAGATGAGGTGAGATAGATGATGATGATGACCAGAATGACGCCGCGACGGTCATCGTCAGTTCACGCGAAAATATATTTGATTGCCCCCTTTTCTCAATTTACGCAGAATAAAATGTACTCACACTTTTTTTCTGTGTATTTGTTTGTTACTTCTCAAACCGGCAATCTACCTTCCCCTTTCCATCTTTTTTTTTTAGTAATTTCCGCTTGTTTTATGAGTAATCAAACGGCCTCCTCCTTCCCATGTTTGTTTTTTGGTGTTTTCGCTTTATTTTGTAAAGTAACCATCAGCCTGCCTCGCCTTCCAGTTTTTTTTTCCCCCTGGGTTTTCTGTGTAAACTTGGTTCTCCTTTTCCGTCAAATCTGTGTTTTCGAAAGTCCATTTCGCCATGTGTCCGGGAGGGTCTTCTTTGTGGTCAGTACCGTCCCACCTTGCGCCTCTGCTGCAGAAACAGTCTCCTTCGTGGTTCGCCGCTCTAAGCGGCCTCGACGACCGCAGCGTGGACCTCGTCAAACTTGGCGTCGAAGAATGCGGGGAACGCCGCGTTGAATGCCGGTTCGAATATGGGGGCGAATCGGGCGGCCAGGTCCTCCTCCTCCTGGATTTTCTCGTGGAGCACTTCGTGGAATATGTGGTCGTGCAAAGCCCAGAGCCCCAGTTCGTTCAGTCTCGGGTCCGGGTGGCCTATGAACTCGGCCGCGGCAATGTCGTCGAGGTGGTGCTCCAGGTTGTTGTAGAACTCGTCGTCTACCGCTTCCCCCAACTCGTCAATGATAGCCTTGAAGACGTCTTCTTGAACACCGTCGGACAATTGCTCGCGAAGGTCCTTGGCAGTCTTGTCCCAGACAAGTTGCTCTATCTCGTCGAATCTCGGTTCGAACGCCGCTCCGAATTTCTCGTCGAATCTCGTTCTGAAGCGCACCTCGAATTGCTTCTGGAACTCGACTGAATAAGCAACGGTGAATTGCCTATTGATCATGTGGACGAGCAAATACGGAAGATTACTCCACATCTTGACTTGGTATTTGCTGGACGCAGATAGGTTTGGGGAAGTGGATATTGCCCAAGGTCTGTCGAGGATGAAGCCTGATGGTGAAGTGCTGAACTCGAGATCGGATGCAAAGTCGGTTGTTGTGGTGGAGAAAAGCGGAAAGTAGAAGTGGCGGAATAGAAGAGATATTTATAATCCTGCACGATGCCAGTCAAGGCAGTTGAGCTCAGTCTAAAGTAAATCTCAACTGCTTTGTCTTGGATATGACAAAGAATTGCCAACCAAGGCAGTCCATCTAACCCAAAGCAGTGCAGCCCAAAGAAGATCTCGACTGCTTTGTCTCGGACACCACAAAGAAAGGAAACCAAGGTAGCCCCCGCCACGGCAGTTCAGCAGGCCCGACAGAATTAGGGCTGAAAAGCAAGGTGGTGTTGTACAGGTGGCGTTTGTGATGTCAGCTGTGCAAACCTTCATGTTCCCGCGTGCACTCTGACTCACCCTCACCGCTACTGAGAGCGAGTTGAGCGTACCAAGAGAATTTCTGAGAGTCTGTGCGGGGCGCACTTTGCCAGAGTTTCACCCGGTCGGTTTTGGAGTGAGGAAGGGTGCACCCTCAGAGACTCCAAAACTCTTCAAAACCTCTCTTGGCAACTCTTGGCAGTCCTGCTGACGCAACCACAAAATTATTGACTAATGACAAGTGCTACATCTCTCAGTTTCTTGCACAACACTACAAACACCACTAACTTCCTCCTTCACCTTACCTTTTGTATGGTACTTCTTGCATGTTCCTTCTTCTAGTCGTGTAGTAATGGGACTTACGGCATTAGGGACAGACTCGGGGCCGCAAGTCCAATCGCAAGCTCGCACAATCGCAAATTCGGGAATGCCTCGGGGCCTCAAATTCGACCTTGAATCGGTACAACCTTGATTTCGCTGTCCCTCGCTCCAGTCCCTCGTTTCCCCACCTTGGATCTACACTCCAGCCCCAACGGGAAAGAACTTGAACACATACCCTGACAGGCGCTTGTAACGGCAGCCAAAAGACCCAGGAAAGGCACAGATTCGATCTCGGTTAGGTCTTGTTGAGAGACATGGCTACGGGCGACAAAGTAACCGACGCCAGTCGTGGTCATTGACGGTGGCGTACAAGTCGTATCATAACAATGTTGTATGGTCGTATCAATATTGCCGCATTTTCCGACGATAGAGAGCATCTAATTGCCAATTTATCAAGATTCAACCCCCAAACCAAAGAAGGATCTGGTTTCGACTTCCCCGCCCGTTGCAAAACCAGCCCACCTCGCGCATCTCGTCAATGTTGTGCACGGTGCAGAGTCAAAGTCTCATCAACGTCTCCGTTCACTCCCGCGAATGACAAGTGCGTACGTGAGGTTCTGAGGTTCTTGTTGGCTTCCTCGGATACTTGCCACTGTTCGTGATGTCCCCACTGACTCCAGCCCCCGCCCCGTTCCGACCTCTTCTTGCATACGGGGGAAGGGTTCTAGTGTGCGCTCGAGTTTCCAAATTTCCAGAGCCAGTGTCGCGAGATGACAATCGAGTGGGTCCAGCACTAGCCTACAACGAAGGAAAAGGGAAATTGCCGCAATGGCAGGTTAGTTTTGTTGACTGTATTCTTTCTGACTGAGGAGAGAGTAACAACGAGAGAGAGAGAGTCTGCGACTCGAGTAACCAGAATGAAGAGGAACGGCAGCGTCAAAAGCCAGGCTAGTTCTGACTCGGTCTTACACCGCACGTGACAGCCAGTGAGTCGACTGGTATGTTCGAAATCCAACTTTTTCCCACCGAGCATGTCGTAAAGCCGCCGAAAAGTAGGGTCGGGGACGGTGTGGAACATTTCGAACTCGGCTTCGGAGGTGTGCCGTTCAATGGGTCTTTCTCGGCGCTCTCTAGAATCAAGAGTACGTTGAGTAGATAGAGAGGGCGACTTGGCTTGAGCTATGTATCGTGGCGCTATGCGAGTTGGAATGCTTTCTCTTTGACACTTTGCTCGCCGAAGTAGCAATAGAGTGCGTCTCCATACTGAGAATCATCCAACACCGATGCTAAACGACATGCCCAAGACTTCCTCGGCAAAAGACAATCCTAGTGAGCTTCCTTCCGGGGCCTGGCTTTCCGGCCTACTGGCACCGGCGGCCGAAAAAGGCTTCCTCACCCAAGTAGAGTCTAAGACGGTCAAGTTTCAATACTATGTCGGGACATGGGGGTTGATCCAAAGCCGTCTGAACTCTGGAGCCATGTCCGCTGAAGAACAGGGACGGCTGCCGGGAGTCTGGGTGCCCCAGCGCGGGCCTGTTAAACCTGCACTTTGTCACCAGAGCGGCTCAACTTGAAGCAAAGACCACAACGCGTTCCAGGCCATTCATTCAGCTCAATTCCCCCTTTCTTCAACCCTTTCGTAATAATGTCTCATTCCACTCTCCTCTCGACTCCCTGCCTACTAACTACAAAGTATTTGTAAGGTCGAACGCCCGTCGCCCGGTCCCTTGGATTTCTTAACATCAACCACCCAAGCTGTCAACTTTCGTACGATCTGATCACCTCATGACCTTCCGTGCTCCCTCGTACCAAAAGCACAGATCAAAGTCCGCATTTTCTGATTTTACCATTTTTTTTTGGTTTCTGGTTTTTTATAAATCATTCAGACGGTCGGGGAAATCTGAGCATCCCAAAATCTCGCCATCGAAGCCATGTGATATATACGCGACAAGGATATCAGGTCTCTTGGAAGACCAGTAGGCAGTGCAGTGTCGTGTCAGGCCGAGGACTGTCGCGGCAAGGCTAGGGAGCTAGCTAACCAGCTTCGAAAGGGGCTGTGTTGAGTGCCCAGGGTGCTGTTGGAAGGGTCTTCTCGAGGCACCTTTGCGCAGCGAGGGGCATACATACCAGTCGCAGCATCCAGGGATTAGGTTCGTATCTGATCTAAACCCGTAGGGTAGGCCATTTCAGGAGGGAGAGGATCGACGAAAACCATGCTTCTGACTTGTTGGGGTTTCCCGATCCGAGCCTTCCGGCACGCAACACCCCGACGTCATCAGGACCTACTCATTGCGAACCCAACCAAGGCCTTGCAAGTAATTCCAGAGTACTCTTTCGACGCGGAGACAAGCTCCCTTCCTCCACTTGGCAAGGTTGGACTACCGGCCGACGGAGCTTGAGTTCATGAACGAGACCTACGAGCCGGAGGGCTTGTTCGGAACGCGAGGAATTTGAATACCTACTAGGTCCATCTGATCGACGGATGCCTGCTGAGGACTTTGGCGACCGTGATATCGAACGAGAGGGGGAGATTATCAACAGAGAGCCCTTTGGTGTTGGAACCCTACTCACGGCCATGTCATGCCGAATGCGATAGTGATCTCTTTGCGCAAGTGCTTAGTGTGGATTGACAAGCGCGAGCAGGGCGGCAGAAGATTGCATTTGATTCAGTGGAAAGCTTGCTGGGATCCCCGGAGAGCCACCTGGGCAAGTTGCGGGACTGGGTTATGGTGGTAGCCCAGTTCGCGATGATGGTGTCGGGTCCTGCCAGGCTTTGTCGTGGGTTGGTCTGGTCCCGCAAGGCAGATTCGGAAAGTGTCTCACATGTGCCGACAGGCTGCGGGCTCAGCTACCTGGTCGGTAGCGCTGGAGACATGACCTCTGTCGAGGGCTGGTCGCGGGACGGGTGCTTGAAGGTGTCGCAAGAGGTCCTTGTCGAGGCGGTGTAGGTGGGAAACTTGATTGATTGGAAGGAAACCCATTTAGCGCCGGTAAAAGCCATTCGAGGCACCTTGCCAATAGGGTTAGAGCAACCAAAAGTCCCTGGAACATTTCGGCACTTTTGTCAAAGGGTGCGTTTGCATTGTCACAAGGACAACGCAAGCGACCGGGATCCCTGGACAACTTGGCTCGCCTTGACGTGCTCATCACACGTGGCGCCTTCGGGGGCACTCACAACCGTTACGAGTTATGGTGGTGACAAGGCCCAGGCGTTCTGGTGCAACCACCGACAATGAATCGGTTGGGGGCAAATGGTGAGTACGCCGCTTCAATTTCCAGTAAACGCCGAGAGACCTCCAACAGGGTGGTCTCTCTCTACCATCATACACTAGCCTGGTCTGCCCGTGCTTTCCAGTGACTGGATCAGTCAGTCACAAGGCAATTCGTGCGGTGGGAGTCTGTGTCTTCTACGGTAGCCCCTTTCTCAGGTCTGGGAGATGGATATAGAAGTGCCCCGTATTGTTGTCCTCGTTGTCGTTCGCTCCCATGATACTCTTTCTCTTTGTTCTCTACTGTCACTCATTCGTTCGACCGCTGGTGCAGGTGGCGCCCGCATGTTTTTTCTGATGTCGAGTAAGGATTTTAGAACTGTCTCCTGGATGCACCTCATGTGGGGTGGGGGGAGGGTAGGCTTACTTCGTAGTACCTTCTCAGGTAGATTTTCAGCGCTTCCGAATAGTTCTCGAATCCGAGCTTGTTCATTGCAGTCAGAACATCGTCGGCGCTCACCGCCCTCCTCTTCTCAGCTGCGCATTTTTCTGCAGCTAACCCTCGATCAGCACTTGGAGCTTGATACATTGTGCTTATGCTTCTTACCTTCGCTCGTAACAAAGGAGATGAACTCGCTAACACAATCTTGCATAAGCTCTATGGCTTCCCGAGAAACCATTACATCGCCGGGAACGGCAGCCCTCATGACGCGCGAAATTGGAGTATAGTTTAGAATGTGCCCAGCTTGAGGATCAATCGGCGGCTCCCGAGGCTGTCTGGCAGACTCTTCGGGTGCGACCGTTTCATCGGCCGCTTTGTTTGCATCATGGCTGGAGGACATTCAGGGATCGATTGAAGGAGTCGCGGTTGTCGCTCGGCAAAAGGTCAAAGCTAAAGAGGACCAAGGGCTGTTTGGTGATAGACTGAGAGGCTGGAGGACGACGGATCGAAGGATCGGGGGACGGCTATAAGCAAAGAGTATGGTAGTACCGCTGTTGCGCATAGCAGCAAGCGGGAATTTCCCCTCCAAGCAAGCCAGGGATCACGAGCCATTGTCGACACAGCGGCATATTCTATTTTGCCTCGGAGTTCCAAACGGTGACCAAGTATGTCATTGTTCGTTGCAGCAGGGATTTTACTGATCCGCTGGAATCCGTACAGCAACGTAGCAGACGTGGCATCGCACCCTGGCCACAACTAGACACTGGACGAACATGCGGTGAAGCATGCAAGGGGTCTTGCGGGAACAATACCCCAATCCGACGTGGAAGCGAAAGGGAGAGACAAATGACCAAAACAAAGCAAGGGAGTGGTGTGCGCAGGCAAGGGGGTAGACACATGGCCGCTCCGTGGCTGACGGTAATGCACGAATCACTGCGCGCGTTGCGCAACGGGGAGCGGTGACCGTCGTGTCTCTCGTTCGATGGTCAAAGGCCGAGGCCTCTTGGCAGACCTTTCCTGCTGCCTGTCAAAAAACGCCTGGCGAGTGCTTCTGGGAAATTGGTTGGGTCTGGAGCTCTTGGCTTACGGCACCACCCTGGACGCCTTGGCTCGTGCGCACCCCCTTGGCTCCTTGGCCGAGGGGGGTCCAAAAGCAATCGAATCATTTTTCCCATCTTAGTTTCTTCGCGGGCGCATTCCCTGTCTTTAGTGGTGGTATTGGTGTGGAAGTCTAGGCTTTTTGAGATTTGAGCAGGAATTTGATGCGTATGACGTTAGAGGTTACGCCGGTCCGGCGTCCTCTCGCTCGCCTTCCCATCACCTATTCATAGAGTCAACCATTGATCCCCTTCGCTCCCTCCCTGGGGATCGGTAGTCGCAGTCGCCCTGGTGCGGCCCCTTCACGTGACCCTCGTCGTCCTGTAGATGACGCTCCTCGTGTCGACCAAAAGCCTCACCACATCTGTCTGGAGCGACGCATTCAGATCCGCGTAAACCTGTTGAGAGGTGAAAATGTATGGAGATACAAGACTCTATTTGCAACACTGGTTGCCCCCGCCTGACGTCCGAGACGGCTCTCTCAACAGCGTGGCCTTTGACATTTGAGATTAGTTGCCTACAAGCCGTCTTCTTCGTTGTAGGCCCACAATTTCACCATGGTGCCTGCTCCTGGGATGTTGCCTTTGAGCTCTGGTACGGCGTTCAAGTTTCAGTGGCATACTGCTGATCAGTGGGTAGAAGCGTTACCGGATTAGGAAGCACCTGAATATTTTTGTGGACTGACAATTGCCGTTTCTGAAATTTGGAGATGGAGAGAAAAGCCAGCCTGATATGTGACTTGAAGCCTTGCTTAGTTATCAAGCACGGTGGAGTGAGAAGCGTAGTTATCACGGTGGGGCACAAGACGCAGTCTTTATGGTGGAGCATGTGTAGTTTATACGGCGGAGTATGAAATGTACTTCATACGGCAGAGCATATGGGCTTCAGACTGTCCCTTCAACAAGACAGGATCACTACCACTCGGACCATGGAAACGGAATCACAACAATGCTCTTGGACCTGCTCACAGAAGCAAGAAGACCTCTCTCAGCAGTCCTCTTCTGCACCACAGCAGCAACTCTATTATCATCCAACTCGGAGACTTGGAGCCGCTGGCCCCGTGGCCATGCAGAAAAAGAAAGCTTCTTGTGCCTTGCAGACTGTTCCCGCTATTGAAATACACCAGTCAAATAGAAGAGAAGACTGAGGTACGAGCCCGTTTGTGCCCTAAGGCTAGAGATGCGCGCGCTCCTGATATTTTGATGGTCAAGATTGAATACGGCCGGTGCTCTCCTCGTTGAGCCGCGGGATGTCTGCGAGCGTGCTTTCGCCGCTGCCGCTCTTTCCTACCAATTCGACGTGCATTCCCTCTTCACCTTACTGTCGTCTGAGAATGAAGTTTGATTGTGAAGTATGAATTTTTTTTGCATGTTATGTTCTGTTGTCTTTTAGATTTTTGGTAGGTACCTCGCATCCGGTTCGTAACAATCTCACGGGTGGGTTCCCGGCGCTTCCCAGAGAATTTTGAGAGTGAGTGGGGGTATCATTGGCACTGAGTGCACACTCTGGAATCATGGCTTGTGTCAGTGACCACCACCAGACCACCACACTGCCACCAACGTTGCCAACTGGCTGTACATATATTCCGACACATCAGTCAGGTCTTCATGCGATAAGTGAGTGCGTACCTGGACAGAGCTGCGTGTAACGACAGAAAATGTCCTGAACGCCTTAGACATGTGAGTATACAGGCCAAGAAGCGTCACCTCTAGCTCTCCTACGGTCAGGTTCCCTGTAAGTGGGTGTGGGGCCGACAGGGGTTCGGGATGAATCTGATCTTGCTGTGGTTCAGCCCAAGGGGGCAATGCAGTCACGTAAGGCCACTGATTATCCCAACACATACGAGGAGTTGGGTCGTTGCTCGTGGTCTGCAGGGCTGCTAAATTGGGAGTGGTTGGGATTGTGAATGAGCTCGTCTGGGTGGCGGCGTCGTGGGCGTTTGCCTCGTACCCATGGCCAAGTCCCTGATCATCGGAGGAACTATCTTCGGTTTGTATGGCAATGTGGCTATGCTGCCCTTTGTTGGGCATCCTAGTATAAGTCTGATGGCTGTCCCAAGAAAGCGGCTTCGACTTCCAATTGGAAGTGTATAGCCCCGTTGGATGGATAGTGCTAGCGTCGTGCCCGTTGACGCCTTCCTGTTGTCATCATCCCTCCCCTGAGACTTCAGACCAAGCTGAGGGTGCTGGAGCGAACCGGGTACTCCAAACGAAGAAGCGGTAGTTTGGGATAGAGAATCGGTTATTTTTGGGGAAGAAGCGGGCTCGGACGGCTCTCGTGTGAGGTTCTGTGCCGTAGCCTCACGCAGTTCTGTCATGGTTGCTGCATCTTTCTCTGGCCTAATGAGGGAAGCCGACGACTCTGCTGTGTTCTCTGCTATAGCGTCATGCAGTTCTGCCGCGGTTGCTGCGTCTTGCTTCGGTAACCTCAGGGGCGGCTTTTTTGTCCGAAAGATTCGCCTCATACGGACTCTCCGATTCGCATCGAGGGCTGGAGCCATATTTTTAAAGCTGTTGTCTGAATAGAAGCAGGCGATTAAATTTCCCTCACAAGCACGGCACGGATCTCTTTTGTCGCACTTGATTTTCTTTGCCTTGCAGTAGTCGCATGACTCCTTGCCCCTTGGCTGGTTGTTATATGACTCGGTCATTGTGAGGACCCCGATCGGCAACCAATAAACCGCAGCAGCTTGAAGGATTGTTAGTATAGTTTCACAGCCCTCCACAGTCAGAGTCGAGAGATACCTTTAGCAGATTTTGGTTCGGGCTGAGCAGGGGACAGCCTGGAAGCACTTGTTTGATTCATTGCCACCGAGCAAGTGATTGAGCAGCAGCAGTTGCAGACAGCAGGGAACAATCAACGCATTGAGTGAAAGTTGAAAGTTGAAGCCAGGCAAGAATGATGAGTCTGCACCTAAGCGCACGACGACAGTCCAGAGTCGAGAAAGATGGACGATGTCATCATAAAGGGGGGAAGAAGGGCCGGTAATAAACACTTGCTTCTTCAACTCCTCTGTCCATGTGGTGAACAGCACCCTTGTGGCCCGTGCATCCAAATAATCACACGGGTGGTCATCATGGATCATATTATTGGCGTCGATGACAACAAGGGGGAAAGCCACAGGAGGTCAGTTTCCAGCCCACCCCACTTGGTTGCATGCGCCTACGACGCCACGCCCCACTTGATGCTGAATACTCACAACCACAGAATCTGCCACGGTGTACCTTTTAAAAGTAGCGTTGTAGTAGTGGTGGTGTGTGTAAACCTGGTTTTTCAGAGGGTTGCCAAGGGTACCAAGGGCAAGAGGGTGCACACGAGGAAGTGAGGAGGTGAGGGAGTGATGCTGCCAAGAGTGCACTCTCTTAGTGCCAAGGCTGCACTCACAATGAGTGAGGGAGGACTCTTGGCAGTGCCGTTGACTTCGGCATAAAATTATTGACCAGCCAGATGTGAGACACACTAACTTCTGACGTCACGTCTGTGCTCCAAATCCAAACAGTTTGGACTTTGCAACGATTTCCACCTGCAACCATCACCACCATCATGGGCGTCAGAAAAAACATGGCAGCGTCATCAACTCACTCACCGTGTGTTCATCCACACTTTCTTCTCTTGATAGCTGTACATGAGCTCGTAGTACTCGTGTTCTCATGTCCTCAGACTGGCAGGGTCATTGGGCTCTCAGGAATGTTCTTTTGTAGCCATACTCGCATGTGTCTTCAGGGTCGCAGGGTCGCAGGTACGGTTTCAGGCTCTCAATCTCTCAGGTGCGCTTGCAGATTCGCTCGTAAGTAGAGGAAGTCGACAAGTAGCGACGGCAGCACGGCGTAATGGTAGTAATGACAAATGGCCACCAAGAGTCTCGAGTCTCGAGTCTTGAATCTTCTCTGCACACAGTAAAAGTTAGCACGACTTACTATCACGTTGTGAGTCTGAACAAATGAAATTGTAGTACAACGGACTATCCAAAAAGTTGCAGGGTTTCTCAGGGAGGTTATGCCGCAGGCAGTGACCGACTCTCGTCACGTTACGCGTGAACACGCGGCGCGTTGTCATGTGATTATGACAATTACGTCAAACTACTCAACTACCACCGCCACCAGAAGTAGGTGTCAGGATTCCGTGGCCAACTCAATCACTGTGTGTATATGTATATAGCGCAACGGCTACGTTCCATACCATTTCTGTCCTCCATCACCAGAGTGTGTATGTGATTGAGTTGGCAGTGGTATAGCTAGCACATGCTGGAGTCCACTTAACTGAGCGCTTTTAGCCGCTTTTGGCCCCCATACCTGTCAAAAG